CTAGGATTATAATTTGTAGTAATGGTATATTTTACAGAGGCTATTTCTCTTCACGCTAAGCATAGAAGAACACTGAGATAATTAGATGGAAATTCAGGTATAATAAGCTTACTTGTGAAGTAATGTTTTTTAGAATCCTCATATTGACAGTTTCCCTTAGCTAATTTTTTGAATAGCTATTTTAGTCTCAGGTCATATTTAGGCATACAAGCCAGTCATAGACAGGGAAATCAACCATGTTTGCAGATACCTAAAATATGCTATATGTGGGTAGCACTTTTCAAAGTTTGAAAATCACTTAAACCACCTCTTAAATTGCAGCAGCCCAGTGCTCAAGGTTGTTAAACCCGCGGAAGTTCTTGTTTGTTCTTCTGGGCTGGTACCAATCTGCACTGCAGTGATCTCAGCAGGGAAACCAGGGCCATGTTCTGTAGGCTGGGAAATGACAATGTTACTGAATTGGGATCCCTCCATAAGTAATCGTTAACGAGAAAGTGTATTGTTACATATTGACAAGGTTGGGACCCAAAGTAAGTAGAAAGGGACTAGTATATCGAAACTTCAGCTGAAAAAAATTTTAATGTGTTCATGTGGACTGGCCAAGATGAACAGTACTGCCAGAACCTTTCACCCATACAATGTACATTTAACTACCTGATGATATGATGATAGAAAGACACAATAAACAGCTATGTTTCCTGCAGAGGCCTATTTTAACCTGGAGGTATTTAAATGGCATATCTCAGCCATGATCCTGACTGTAAGATTAATACAAAAGAATATTAACTCACATAACAGATTTCTTCTGCACACGTTGCTCTTCTTGCCAGCTTCTGGGGTGAGAACTTTGCATCTGCCCCAGTGCATTCTTTAGATGGAAAGAATTAACATTGCGGAGATGTAAAAAAAGTGGTGGGACTTTGTTTCTGAGTTGTAGGAACATTGTACGAACGAATGGGTTGTGGAAGGATAGAGACTCATTTGTCATGCCAAGCAAAATTAATCCTTAAAAGCATACAAGTGTATTTCAAAGTTTCTAAGGAATGAGAATCAGTCTTTTGAGTCCTTTTCATTTCATTCATGCTGAAGTCTGAGGCAATATGTTTTGTACAATACTATAATACCACTCTTGAGTCCTTGGTAAACTTTGCCAGTTTTCCTCTTCGCCTGTATAATTTCTCTCTTTTTGATTCAATATTTTTCTTCTCTGTGAGTGAGCTTTGGCCAAATAATACCAGTTTGTGAGCCCCCATAGAATTTTCCAGGGCAGGATTTGGGGGAGTATTTGAGTGGTTCTTGGCTGGGTAGGCTTGTCGTAGCTTCCTGGTCCTTGTGGCTCTTATGAAATTAACCTCATTGATTAGAAGGAAGATGTGGCTATTGGTGACCTCATTCTCTGATGCCATAACCATTTCCAGTTCCTCTGACATCCCCTTCGCTTCGTGCTTTGCTGATACAATGACTTGTTTGCTGTCTGATGAGGGCATGGGAGGTGGGAGTGTGTGTGGATGGAAACTCCAGTTATTGAAAAGATTTTATTATTTTAAAAAGCAATTATCAGCATGAATGCATTCACAGGATTTTCAGACAGTCCTCCCCTTAGTGTCTTTTGTTTGGTCCTCAATCTGGAATACCTGAAGGCCACTTCCCTGGCCGGTTAGCATTCTGCACAGTTCATTTGGCTCATGGCAGCCAATAGTCGCAATACTATTTGTACATCGCAGTTCTTATATTCAATTTGGTCTTAAAAACTGTAGGGGAAAATTACTATAAAAAGAATTTTTGTTTGAGCTCAGAGTATGTAGAAAGTCAACACAAATTAATTTTAGATGAACCTAAATAGATCTAATAAATTCACCAAGCAGATGCCTGTTAAAATTAAGAATGTTATTAAGGTTTTCCATTAATGTTGTGGATAGGAGCAGTCTAGGATTATAACTTTGTAGTAATGGTATATTTTACAGAGGCTATTTCTCTTCAAGCTAAGCATAGAAGAACACTGAGATAATTAGATGGAAAATTCAGGTATAATAAGCTTACTTGTGAAGTAAATGTTTTATTTAGAATCCTCATATTGACAGTCTTCCCTTAGCTAATTTTTTGAATAGCTATTTTAGTCTCAGGTCATATTTAGCCCATACAAGCCCAGTCACAGACAGGGAAATCAACACATGTTTGCAGATACCTAAAAATATGCTATATGTGGGTAGCACTTTTCAAAGTTTTGAAAATCACTTAAACCACCTCTTAAATTGCAGCAGCCCAGCTGCTCAAGGTTGTTAAACCCAGCGGAAGTTCTTGTTTGTTCTTCTGGGCTGGTACCAATATGCACTGCAGTGATCTCAGCAGGGTAACCCAAGCCCATGTTCTGTAGGCTGGGAAATGACAATGTTACTGAATTGGGATCCCTCCATAAAGTAATCGTTTCAACGAGAAAGTGTATTGTCTACATATTGACAAGGGTTGGGACCCAAAGCTAAGTAGAAAGGGACTAGTATATCAAAACTTCAACTGAAAAAAATTTTAATGTGTTCATGTGGACTGGCCAAGATGAACCAGTACTGCCAGAACCCTTTCACCCATACAATGTACATTTAACTACCTGATGATATGATGATAGAAAGACACATAAAACAGCTATGTTTCCTGGCAGAGAGCCCTATTTTAAACCTGGAGGTATTTAAATGGCATATCTCAGCCATGATCCTGACTGTAAGGATTAATACAAAAGAAGCCATTAACTCACATAACAGATTTCTTCTGCACACGTTGCTCTTCTTGCCAGCTTTTGGGGTTGAGAACTTTGCATCTGCCCCAGTGCATTCTTTAGATGGAAAGAATTAACATTGCGGAGATGTAAAAAAGTGGTGGGACTTTGTCTTCTGAGCTTGTAGGACATTTGTACGAAGACGAATGCAGTTGTGGAAGGATAGAGACTCATTTGTCATGCCAAGCAAAAATAATCCTTAAAAGCATACATATATTTCCAAAGATTTCTAAAGGAATGAGAATCAGTCTTTTGAGTCTCCTTTTCATTTCCATTAAATGCTGCAAGCCCTTGAGGCAATATGCTTTTGTACAATACTATAACACCACTCTTGAGTCCTTGGTAAACTTTGCCAGTTCTTCCTCTTCGCTGTATATTTTCTCATCTAAAATGTAACAGCTGATTGGTGCCTTGTTCATGTTTTACTTACTTTTGTTATTGATTTCTCCCCTTTAGTGTTATCCTGAACAGGAGCTATGAGAAACAAATAGGGACACCTCAGTGCTTCTTCCTTTGGGTTCAGATTCTCCAGAATAGGAAGAACTGGCAAATAAATGAGTGAATAGACTGTTGCTTTTAACCTGTCTATAAATACATGTTTATGTCTCTTGATAATGGATCGCCCCTGTGAACAAGTAATCATTTAAAGTTTAATTTTAATCTACACATCAGAGATGTAGATATGGAATTGTTTATGCTTTCTTTCAACTTCTCTCCCTCTTTGATTTTCACGATAAAGCAAATTAAGTGATGTGCACTTTTCAATTGCAGGAATGATTAAGACCCAGCTGTGTCTGTGAAATTATAAGTTACTATGCAACACTTGGGACTTATTAATGCCTTTTTTGGCATGAAGAAAAGAGACATAGGTATCTAATATTAAATGGTTTTCCAAAAAGCGTAAGTTAGCAGTTTGTTTGCCAAATTAATTTTCAAAGACATCTGGGTTACAGAGTTTGACATTTCTATACACAAATCTTAAATGATTGATGGACTACTGTAAAATAGCTTTGTTCAAAAACGATAATCTTTGGCAGGCTTCTACTTCAAAGAGTTTACTACTCTGAAAAGATGAAAACGTATCTCCATTTTACATTTAATTTCCCTGATAGATCAACACTTATTTGAAATATGCCCGAGAATTATGTGATATTTACTGTACTGCAAGTTTCTTCTTCACTGTACCTGGCTGCCCCTCATGGGATTGTTTTTATTTCCAAGACTTAGAATTTTTCTACACATAAAGAGCATCTTCGAGAAAATACAGTTGAGTAGAACAGTGTATCTGGCATTTTTATTCACTAATGTTTCACAGCAAGGTAGTGTTTGAGACTTTTTTAATCAACTATACCGTTTCAGGATGTGGTTTCAGATTCTTCTTATAAGTAGTCTTCTTCAAACTCTGAAAGGATCCACTTATTTCTTTTTAAACATAGATTGTGTGGTTTTTGTTTATGTCTAAGGTCGTTGTAGAATTACATAAACCAGGGGAGAAAATCTCAACTATAGAGTCAAGCTGGTCGAGTGAAGGGGCCAGTTACAGGGGTGTGTGTGTGTGTGTGTGTGTGTGTGTGTGTGTGTGTGTTTACACACGTCTCTGTGTGAGTTGGAGCATGTTGGGGGTAACAGCATGGTCCCTGAGGGGAACGGTCATTTATTTAGGTCAGTAAGAAAGATTCTCATTTTTATAAAGAAACTGAAAATCTAGATTATTATCAGAAGTCTCCTAATTTTTCAGTATTGGCAACTACTTCAATTTTCTAAAAGCTTCTGGGCTGGCCAAACAAAACATGTCTGGTGGGTGGCAGTCTTGGATCTCGATAGACCTGCTGAGAAAAAGAAAAATATTTAGCACAAAAAGAAAACAAAAATGCCTCTCAGTCGTCTCGTTTTCTGGAATGCAGAGTTTCATGATTGTGGAATAGCCACCTATAATTGCCTAAAGATGATTCAGGACAAAGGAACACTGAGTCCTGTGTTTGGGAGAAACTTTGCAGGGGGGCTCAGATGCATGGGGTAGGAGAGGGCAGTTGGGTAATGGATACAGGTGCCTTATGTAAAACACAATAATAGTCAGTGAATTTACAAGGGAGAAGACGTGGAACAGAAACCTTTTTCTCTTAAATTTATCTTCAAGGCCATTTCATTTTGTGGAATTGAATAAAGCTGACTTGCAAAAAACAACAACAACAACAAAAAAAACCAACAACAACCCTTCTTTGCTCTTTGGCAGGGTGAAGTAGAAAAATAAAGTCCCCCCGCTGAACTACTATGAGGTCAGAAGCCTTGCTGCTATATTTCACACTGCTACACTTTGCTGGGGCTGGCTTCCCAGAAGATTCTGAGCCAATCAGTATTTCGCATGGCAACTGTAAGTAGCCACAGTCTCACTCGCTTTCTCCCTCTTCGGACATTTTAGCCTGAATCAGCCTAGCAAAAAATGTCAAAATTCAGTAGAAAACGAGGCTATGTAGATTGCAAAGGTAGATCGTGCAGGTCCAGTCAGTTGCCGGGCTGGCTGTTACAAAACTCTATCACATGTTGTTCTGGGGACGTGTGGGTGAGGGTCTGGAACATCCCTCAGTAACCCTGATGCACTTTCCATTCTTACATGGAAGCCATCGTGTTCATGCCTTAAAGCTAGCTGTGTGGGACAATGTCACTATCATGTGGGCATTGCCCACGTTACACGTCTTCAACATATAATTAATATTGGGCATTGTTATAAGATATAACCCCCGCCCCCAAAAATGACTGCTTTGAAGTACCTTAGAGAAAAAAATTAATATTTTTCAGAAGTTATATAGCATTGCTAGACTTGGGTAGAGAGTGATTTTAAATTTGCAGAGAACCTGTTTTTCACCATTTATAACTTCCGTTTGGTCTCTGCTTCATTGTTAGGAGTAGATACTAACATGATTAAGAATTCAGTTGTCTCCTCAAAAGAGGAAAGTCCTTCTACCTATGTACTGGATGGAACATCCCATTTACAACTTTTTCCCCCTGCACTTTAAAAGACTTTTATCACAATTAAAGTGTAAGAGAGCATCCCCCCCCCCAATAACTGTTTTCCCAGTAATTATCCCCCTCACCAAAAAAAAAAAAAACCAAAGAAAAAACCTGAATGAAACACACAAAGGTGTCCAACATGAATATGGGTACTGATGAGATCCATCAACTCCCAGCTTTCAGCTGGACTCTCTGAGTTGAGAACAGAGGTAATTTTACATGAAGGTGAAGTGGCCAGACTGACACACAAAACAATTAGAGAACAAAAGGTCAAAGGACATTATTAAGACCAAGTTGTGTAGTTCAAGGTCATCACTCCTGATACGACAGAGTCCATTCAACTCAAGGTACCAAAACTTAATGAACATTTATTTAATCTCCATTTGAGATAAATTTTGTATCTTTTGTGCCCCAGTACAGAAGGGAGCCCAGCGCAGAGGTATTGCTGAAAATCATTCCTCAGTGGTCACTCAAATCCGTGATAGTAGAGACATACCAATTGTTATATTATAACAACCTCCTTGATGAGTGAGTGTATGAAATTTCAGAGCAGTGGAAGGAAATGCACAAGATCGTCTTATAAGAAGCTTGCTTGTGAATAAAATACACTAAGGCTCTCTAATAAGATACACACCATGAGTAATGCTCAGATACTACAAGGGTTTAAAGTGTAGAGGTCTAAGCATAAATCTGTGAATGGTTTTCTAGTCATTATTTACACCCCCACCCTTCCCCGGAAAACAAGTGCCTTTTAAACCGTGACTCATCTTTCTTTCCAAGTTTCTTTGGAGCATCGCCCGTGTTCTGGATATTGTAGGTGTAAAGGCAGAGAGATGTTGAGATATAGGTATTTCTAAAGGTCAGATCTCATTACAAATTGCCTGCTCTCAGCCAAAGGGAACTGTAGGAAAGGAGAAATATGTCCATTGACTACTCTCCAATTCAGGGAAAATTCCAGATCACCTGACTGGCTACACTCCGTTTGACCCTGTCCTGTCAAAGCCCACATTTCTGTGAAAGTAGCCAATTGCTTAACTCAAGAGTGAACTTCCCACAGTTCCTAGAATGCCAACCGACCTAGCAGGGCTGCCTTCAATAGTGGATTATTCCAACTGGACGCCTGTGGAGACTGTATTTTTCTTCTGGCTCCTGGACGAGGGCTCTCGCCTGCAGACCACATTGCCTTTGTGGTGATTGATGGGAAGGCTGCTTTGAAATAGTTTTGTCCCAAGACAAGATCTTTGGCAAACTGCCTCCTCAGGCTTAGCACTCTGCAGAAGATGAAAAGAAAACTGTGGAAGAAAAGAGCACCTTCCTGCAAAGGGTTCACTGGCAAGTTTAAACCCCAGAAAGAGGAGCAAGTCAGAACTGGTGACACTTAGGAATAGAAGTCTAGGCTTATTGTCATCTGGAAATGAAACTGCAACTTGATCGTCCTTAAAGAGCACTCTTCTCTCATAGTATTTCCTAAAAGAACAGACTCATTGGGAGATGGAAAATGGAGGCACGGTCTGACTTTAGCACACTGTGTTTTGTGGCCCACCCCCGCCCCTCCCCGCCCTGTCAATGCGTGGCCTGATTTGCGTTTCCCCCTCTTGCCCCATGTTCTCTTTTCACAGATACAAAACAGTATCCGGTGTTTGTGGGCCACAAGCCAGGACGGAACACCACACAGAGGCACAAACTGGACATCCAGATGATTATGATCATGAACAGAACCCTGTACATTGCTGCTAGGTGCGTGGCCTTTTCCTCGCAACTGGCTTCAGAGTGTCCGAAGGTCCAAGGTCCTAAATGGACCAGCTGGGCAGCATTTTTCAGATCTTGAGGTTCTCAAAGAGAATGTTCTTTAAGTTAAAGGCGACTTTAATTTGTCGAGCAATCATTCTTTCAAGATTGTCTGTGTCTGTTTAGCTTTATGGGATTTAGGTAAAATTAATTGCACATTTTGGAGCTTATACTCAAATATACGCAGCCACTACAGTGCCTCGCTCCTTCATACTTGTTTGTTAAATTAAATTGAATGTGTAAATGCGTATTATATAGTGTGCATGGAGAAGCGTGTATGTTAAACCTATTTGAATTTTTGCAGTGGGTATATATATCATTAACAGCATATATCATTACTTTGAAAGAATGGCAATGGCAATCAAAGAAAGCATAATATATATATTCTGGAAGATTTTTTATTTGGCTGTAGTAAAAAAATATTCATCCAATGAGGAAATGTTATTTAGACAGATCAACACCTTAAGGCTGAATGTCGTGGTAAGAATACTGCTTAAATACGGATCACATGGATTTAGGCTTTTGTTCTAATTCTGCCCTTACTGTAGCTAGACCACACCTCCTGTGGCCATAAGTGTCCTTTGCCAAATGATAGGTTGAATTTGATTACCTTAATGAGGTCCCTTGGTATGCCAACAATATGTGAGCCCCGTTTGGAGGCATGTAGCTCACTCAGAATAACTGCACATGAACAGCGAGCAGGAGCACGGGCCTGTGGCGCTCCACTGCGATCTTTCCCAGGTCCAGACTGATTGATCACTCCCCACTGGGAAGAGGAAATGGAGATTTTGTTTGTATCTGGCTGTGAACATCGGTAAAGAACCTATGTGTAACGATAGTGTTCGAACCTTTTAAAGCACTTAGGTGTTCTGAGGTGACAAGCTTTGCAAGATAAAGTAAAACACCATTGGCAAAGCATCCTGAGAGTACCCTCTATTTGCTCACAGGGAGCAACATCAAAACACAAATACTTACATAGCACATGCAACTGGTATGTTGTGCACACACAATTAACAGATATAGTTGTAAGTTCTTTATGAATGCTATTTAATTCAATCCTGGAAACAACCATAGGAGGAGCTGTCATTATCCCCATGTCTTCGTGGGGGAATCCAAGCGACAGAGGGGTATAGTGACGAGGCCAGAATGACAGAGGCAGGATTTGAACCAGGATGGTCTTGCTCTAGGGAACACGCTATCACTCTCTGGACTATGCTGCCTACTAGGGAGTAGAGGCTGAACTATTTGTTCTGGTAGAAACTTTCTAATAGCTGTTGCCCCAAAGCATAGTCATTGTGGTTATTCATTATTAAGCATCACAGTGAGGTGCTCAGTAGAATATCAGAAGATCCCTTAAATATCGTTTCTGATTTCCTGAATGTAGCTGAGCTAGATTACATTTGCACCCAATTACCTAAGGGCTGATCAAAACAAATGATTACACATTGGATCTGTGAGAAATAGTTCAACTCAGTAATCTCCTGGGAATTGTTCACTTTGCAATTGAGTCTCTGGGGGGGAAATGACATAACAGCCTGCCCTTGTACCCGGTGATTTCACAGGGCCTGGACTGCAGGTCCAGGGCAAGAGGAGTGTCAGGAGTAAGGTCCTGTGCAGACTTAAAAGTCACCATTATTCCAGCTCGTTAAAACCAAGACAATTTTATTCTAACTCCCCACCCCAAGGAAAGAAAGGAAAAAGAAGAAATAGAAGGAGAAAAAGAAGAAACACATTTAATTTTTTAAAAAACAATGACAGATTGATTCATCTTTCGTTCAAGGTCAAGTTTGTAACATGTTGACATGTTGGTTTTCACGCCATACTCAGCCACTTCCCTTCCATACACACCTTTAGAAAAATTCCTGGAAGAGTTCTGTGGCCACCGTGTTTAGGGCCTCTCCTCCCTTTTAATTTCACATTTCCCAACATTACTCTGAGAGATCCAGGCTCCTAGGCAGCAAGTAACGCGATTTACAGTTAAATCCTTTCCCTGGGCTCAAGCCATGGCAACACAATTCAGTGCTACTCATTGGAGGGGGAAGAGGAAGTCCTAGGATTAAGTCAGTTTATGTTCAAATAACTTAATTCAGGAGGAGCAGCGTAGGAAGCGTGGGATGCACGGCCGGCAGTTGGGAGCAGCCCTTGACCCTAGTCTGCGCTTTCCCAGAAAGCACCGTTTCTGTTGGCCGAGCCATAGGATCTATTGGATATTAAAAAAGATCACCATCGTGCAAACGGAGATTTCATTCACGGAATTCTCTTTTTAAAAGGCTTCCCAGTCCTTCCAGACAATTGGTGTCAGCAGTCACAAGCCAAGTCCCATCCAGAGCCCAGGGACTGAGGGAGGCTTGGTGGCAAGAACCCCTTTCAATTCTGCTTTATTATTATCCACTTTGTAAATTCCTCTTCTTTTTTAATCTCTAAACTGCTAATTAACATAAATAGGCCATGCCAAAAGGGGGCAATCTGAGAGCTTTCTGAGGAGTTGCCAGTGCATATTAATCAGCTGTTAATTTACAATTCATATATTCAGCCCCTTCTTAAGTTTGGAGGGTAGGCAGGGCAAGGAAAAGCCTCGAGTCCTCTCAAACCTGATACCAGGGTAATAGGCAATCCCATTCCAATAATGAGCCTGACCACAACACCCCCAATAAAGTCAAACAAGTAATCAACAAATGCAGTAAAAGTGCCTTGAAATTAAAGGACAGGGCAATCCTGGCAGCATACTGAAGTTTGAAGAAACTTCCCAATTCAGCAATTTACAGAACAGGCTCTCCATTCTCCCCCTTACCCTCCCCCCCCACACACACACACACTCACTCACAGTTCAATAGCAGGCAAGGGAATTTTGTCAGCCAACGGCCCTGCCCCCTCCTTTTATATTCACGTGAGAGAGCCTGTTTTTATTTTTCTTTCTTTTTTTTCTGTTGTACTTTCCCTAAAAGCAGTAGCAAACAGATTTCCCAAGAACTGAATATGTGTGTGTGTGTGTGTGTATATATATATACACACACACATATATATGTATATATATATAGAGAGAGAGTAAAGTGAATCTTACAAATAATTCCTTTCTTTCTTTCCTTCTTCTCCCCCTTCCCCTTTCTTTTAAGTAATATGGGGGCTTGACAGTCTGCACGGGAGACTTGAGGTCCTGGTTTAAAGCTGTGGGTAATTTTCCAACCCCAGGACTTCCTGTATTTTAGAAAAAGTCAATGTTATTTCAAGGGAAAATGAGCTGTTTTGCTTCCTTCCCTAGCCCCCCATCTCCTCCATTGAGTGTAGTTCTTTTCTTTTCTTTCTTCTGAATTCCAGACAAAAACGCCCTTGTGCTCAGCTCGCACAGAAGGGGATGTTTAAATATAGCCCCACACCTGAGCTGCCGATTCTGTTTCTCCCCTTCCGAGGGGAGATTGGCAGCAAATCGTAAAGACAACCGAATTCTCAGCAAAACAGGAAGGGGAACAGGAGCAAGAAATGTAAACTTTAGCTCGAGTACGTTTTAGACTGTAATGGACCAGCGTCTTGTGAAGAAAATAGTGGCTTCTGGAAATAATTTCACCTTTATTATTTTCCATCTTGTCGATCAAATCATCAAAGCTAGGACTGAAAATATGTTTTCTAAAGAGAGATGGAGATGGAGATTATTTTTTTGTTAGCCCCCTTGATGAACCAATGTGGCACACTGAATACCAAGTATTTGGTACATGGATTTGAGGACGTTGAAAGGGCGTGAGAACCCATCTGTGTTCCAGTCTTTGGGCCAAGTTAACTTCCAGAGTCCTCCCTCCTGAGCTATGAATATGCAGATGCTGTAGCTCTGGTATCAGAGAGCAGTGGCTGTAGGAAAGCTTTCATAAAAGGTGTTCCTTGGAGCAAGATGCCATGATTTATCCGAAGGTACTAAATGGGATCCAGAGGCATCTGTTGAAGGCTGAGGTCCTTTCTTTTTCTTGTATGTGGATGTCTTGTTTTTTAAAAATATGGGTATGGGCTTTTCTGCCTTGAATGAGATATAACTCGTTCAGCAGAAAATGAACTGTCTTGACTCTTATGTTTGACCTTGTATTAATTTTTCTTTGTTTATAGGGACCATATTTATACTGTTGATATAGACACATCACACACAGAAGAAATTTATTGTAGCAAAGTAAGTTGTTTGAAAACCATCTTTCTAAAATGAAGGAACTTAGGATAGTTCTTGAAGAGAGTATGTATTTTAAATGCATGGATGACATGATGTGGCTAAGAATAATTTGGAAATGCCAATACAGATTTTGTAAAAACCTAATTAGAGGGTAGTTTAGGATTTAATGCATGTTCTATGCTTCATATTTTCCTCATCAAATATTTGTGTGCATATACATTTTGGAGCTAATTTCTAAACTCCTTTAATAAAAATATTGCCACTTTTATACAGGAAAATATCAGTTTTTACAAGTAAAATTTTATTCCACAAACATATTCCATAAATATTTCCATGTTGTATTTCCATGTCTTATAATATTAAGTTTGATTTGACTATTCTTGGTTCAAGAATTTGATCGTTGTCCATTTCGGACAGACATAAAGTATAACCTAAGCTTTGCTTATAACTCCAAGTGGAGATATTTTAGTTAACAAATCTTGTGCCCTAGAAGTAAAAGATCCCCTCAGTTCATTAATTTATGTGAAGGAGTATAACCTGAATTAAATCTTTGTCCACCTGATGTGAATGTCCCCTTTATGTTTAAGAAAATGACTTCCATATTTTAAGGAAAAGGCCTCCTTTATAAAAACTGATTTATCAACTGAAAGGAAAGGGTCAGGACATGTACTTTATCAAAATGAACATAATTTAGCAAGTTAATTTGGATATTTTATGTAAAATTTCCACACTGTTGTTTACTCTTCTTTCCTTCCTCCTTCATCTTTATCTCAAAGAGATAAGTCAACTATTTTGTGGTTTAAATGAATAGATAGGAGTTCAAAATTAAATGAATGTTTCCAACTCTCATCTTTTGTTGTTATGGTGAATTAATCATGGAGAAAGGGTGCGGAAAGCTTTCAATAAATATATGTTCAGCCTCTAGTCTCCCCTGGGGAACTCTTACTTCTAAAATCAAATGCAACAACCTCTGCGCTCTAATTGATTTCTTTCTTGATCCCTGCAGAAACTGACATGGAAATCTAGACAGGCCGATGTAGACACATGCAGAATGAAGGGAAAACATAAGGTAGGCAATTTTCATTTCTCTTGCAGCTGCCACTTCGGGTTAAGTTTTTGACTGTTATCTCCCGCCGTAGACTGTGATGTAGAAGCGGATCGCATGCTATTCCCTTTTCCCCCTAGTAATTGCTTTTTCCATCAACTTATTGAAGGCTTTAATTTGCAAAAATAGTTTGCTTTTAATGTGATGAAACATGACGACAGCTGCTAGGACTGCATCGTGAACTGCTTAGGCCCACTGGGGATTATGGACACAAAGCTGGCCGCCCAGAGCCTGCTGAGTGCCCGCCAGCCAGCCCACCTCGCGGTCCCAGGCCCGCGGGGAGTCCGTGCACCAGCTCATAAAAGCCTGCCGCAGACACACGGGGTTTGTGCCGTCGGTCATATAACAACAGAAAAACACACTTCATCCAGAAGCTTTGTACATTAGGGAGCCCTGGAGCACCTGGCATTAAAATTAATATGATAGGAGGTTGGCACTTCCAGGCTTGCCTTCCTTTTGTGACATAAAATAAAAACACGCTCTTCCATTCCGTGCCATGTTTTTATTCACTGTTGAGGCGGCAGTTGCTGCTTTCCACCTCGACTTTTTTGGTTGACATCAGGAAGAACTTGAACTTTTAACAGGGGAACTCCCGAGCCTTCATTTTAACCTCACTGTGGGCAGCCCGCGGTGGTATACGGTGAAGAACGGGTTTCTGTGTTGCATGGACTCCACACAGAACAGTTTGAATTATTTTTTCAGGATGAGTGTCACAACTTTATTAAAGTTCTTCTGAAGAAACACGATGACATGTTGTTTGTCTGCGGAACTAACGCCTTCAACCCCTCCTGCAGAAACTATAAGGTAAAATGCTATTCGTCTGTCGGAACCAGTGGGCCAGGAGGTATTTCGTAATTTACTCTGCTTGCACCTTCAGCAACCTAAGAGGGGTAATCCAACACCACCTGGGTTCCTCTCACTTGTTCGACTTAATGTATTGCTGCCCATGAGTGATCCTGAGCAGGCTTCTAAGCTTCCTGTTTGTTCAGGGTTGATTGACACATCTTTAAAGAGCTACCCGGCGAAGTGAGCTTGTGTGAGACCCTATTCTGTATTGTTCAGAAGACTGACATACTTACCATGTACACCACGTGGATTTCCTCTCTCTCTCTTTCCCTTTCTCCCTCCCTCCCCCACTATCTGCACTCTGAGCACAAAAGCACACTTATATGGTGAGTGATTCCTATTCTGAAATGTTCCTCAAAACCATGCCATTTGAACCCGTAGACTTTCCACTAGGTAAGACTTTTCAAGAACACAGGAATTTAATTTCATTAGCGCTCAGCTGACTTAACCGTGGTCTGCCTTACCTTGGCCTTCATGCAAGGAAACAAAAAAAACCCTCTCAAAGAGTTAGTAAATCCAGTTTGCGTTGATGCGGCTCATAGAGGTCCTGCTAAAGGAGCAGGGAGCTAAGGTCTCGGCTCCACATCCGTTAGCTTTCCTTGCACGCCTCTCTGCCAGTCGGTCACTCAGCAAACACGTGCGGAGTTTCTACCGTGGCCAGACATTGAGGTCGTAAAGACAGATAGGAGGCCCCCAACCGGGGGCAGCCAGGCAAGGAGCAGAAAACTACAGTTCCGGTGGGGCCACTGCCATGGTGACATCATGCAGAGTATTATGGAAGCACGACACAAACGTTCTTGCCATAGCTTGAGATGGGGAGTCAGGGAATGCTTCAGGAAAGAGGTAAATATCTTCCTCTCTTCAAACTTCCCTACCTGTTTTTCTCTTACCTGGAGCACGGATATCCCCACCATTAGAAACATAGGCCCCATGAGGGTAGGAATCACATCTGTGATTGTCCGGAAGCTAACACAGTGCCTCGCAAACAGGTGCTTTTGTGAAATAAATCACGAATGAAGTCGTGCCTAACCTCTGTCTTAGAGGACAAGCAGAAGTTAACCATATGAAGGAGGAAGGGCATTTCAGGCAGGGGAACAGCATGAGCAAAGGCATGGAGGAAGAAATGGCCTCTTGAGCTTGAGAAACTTCATTTGGTTCTGAAGTGACAAGTGTTGACAGAAAGAGGCTAGAGAGGTAGGTGGCCCCAGGGATGAAGGGAAGAGAAGAGATTGAGGAAGTACTTAAGTGACTGAAACCAGTAGGATTTAATAATTGATAAGAAGTGTAGGATAAAGAGAGAGAGAGGAGTCAGGAATGACTGCTAGGCTATCTCTTGGTGGGTGGATATGGGGCTGCCACCACTGTAGACAGGAAATTAAGAGCAGTGGGATTGGGGTTGGGGTTGGAGTTGGGGTTGGGGTGGGTGGCACTCCATTCTGCGCACCCCGTGCACGCCTGCCACTGTGGATGGCAGTGCCTGTGGGGCGTGAATAAAGGTATCCAGCAAGAAGATGGGTACACCTTGAGTTAGCGAGAGATGTGGGGAGAAATATACGCTTGAGTTTCCTCATCATCAATGAAACCCCAGGAGTGTGAAGAAGGGGAAAAGCCATGATGGGCAGGAATCAGAAGCAGGGGGCTCACCAGAAAAGACCCCCCCCCCCCACCCCCCCACCCCCCGCCTTCTCCTGGTGTAGATATTGAAGGATTGAAGGGAGCCTCTGTTTTACCCCTGTGCTTGTCTTCCACGTTGTGCTCGGAAATGGGCTCCCGCAGGGCCAGGATTAGGGCAAGGCAAGTGAGGCACTCAGCTCAGGCACACAATGTAAAGGGGCACCAAAAATTTCAGTAATTAAGATAAATTACATTTCTAATGCAGTATTTTTAAACATCAAAATGAGAACAAAAAAAATCTATCCTAAACAAAACGTCAAGTTTTTAAGTAAAGACAAGATCCATCAGTTCATGGTAGAGGCAGCCAGTCCTACCCAACATTTATTCCGGCCGGTGACAGCATACAGCTGAAGCTCCGACTTTAATTCTGCCACTTAATATTCCATCCCTGTTTGTCATTGTTTAGGATTCATTAAGATGGATGCTTCTAACAAATCCCAAGGAATTCCCTAGCTGGAAAGCTATCTTTCACGACAAATTACAGGTTTTCTTGGCACTGTGATACATAGGCTATGAGTGTTTCTAGCACATTCTTCCTGTACATGTTCCATTTCCCACGATGCTGCACCTCCAGTGATGCCATCACCTCTAGCTTGTTCTAGCCACATCTGCTGAGACATCTTCTGGGAGCCCGGGCCTCTCAGAATATTGTTCATGCTCAGTCCTTGTCTGTACGCCTATGCTAGTGAGAACCCTCGGCATTGCTTAGAAAAGTGTTCGTTTAGACTCGGGGCACTGCGCGACGTTGCAGATGACCTGGGATGCAGTGTATTTGCCTGCAGGGAGAGTGACAGCTTCTCTCTTAAGTGCTTTTTATCCACAGGTCAGGTTCAAAGCAAAAACAGTGACCAGTCTTCCACTGAAAAGCCCAAGCCTCATCATAGCAGGCAAGCGTCAAGTTGATTAAGTAACGTGAAGCAGGAGAGTAGCAAATTTTCAGTCTCTGCCTCTGCACCATGTCCTGATCTATATAATTTTTATAACGGAAGTAAGCAGAATGTATTAGAAAGATTATAGCCCCAAACAAGATTATCTGGGGAAGAATTCTGAAGGCTACTCACTATAAATCTAAAACTACACTCCATACCTTTTCCTTCTCGTTCTTTTAAACTTCTGCAAAACCCAGGCCAGTTCTTCATATAATTATCTGCACCCTATGGTGATTTAATTTCCCAGGGGCTGCTGTTAAGGCTGAGAGGTGATGACTTCCACAAGGATTAGTTCTTACTTCATGGAAAGAAAGTGTCATCATGGCATTGTTTTTGTCTTTGGACTTTCCCAAAGTCACAAACCAAAACACGAGTTCTTCACTGCTTTCTCCCTTTGACTAGCAGTAGCTATGGCCACATTTTTAAGAGTAGGCACATCTTAAAAAACAGATCCTCCTTGTCTATTGTTTCCCTGCTTGCGGGGATTAGAGTATGCACCGCTTGGGATAAGGGCATTTCCGTGGCATCGTTGTGTGCTAAGCATCGCTTTTGAATACTTGCCAGGCCACAGACCGCAGAGTCTGCCACGGTTCAACAGAAAGCTCTTGTTGGGATACAATATCTGAAAAAGATTTTCATAAAAAATGTTCTGGAGGGAAGAGTACATTGCTTTAAAGAATGTCTGATTTGGCCATCTTTCCCCTAAAAATATATGTTTATAGCACAACTGTTTTATGTGACTCACAACTACAGTTTAAAAAACGAGGGTGGCTTCAACAGAGACCGTCTCAAGGGCTTACAGATGAAAAGGCCTGTCCTATCCCTGAAATGGTTTCAAAGGGTTTAGGGCAAAAGGCACAATTCAATGGAGGACACACAGTTGCTCAGTGGGAACCGCACCCTTCCCTCCTGGGCCGTGGCCTGAGCACCTTGATTTGGGGCAGCGGCAGTTACTGCCAACGGCCTGCCCATGGGTCCTTCCTCAGCGCCAGTGCCGCCCTGGGTTTATCTTCTTTCGGTTTTCAAATCTGTGCTCAAACCATGCGACTCCAAGTAATAAACAAAATATCCTAAAACCGTAAAGAGGATCAAAACACAAATGAATAAAAAAACACTAATGGCATAGAGATCATTCCGTGGACTCTGTGGTGCTGAGACTTTGCACGCTAGGAAGATCCCAGGGCATGAGGAAGGAGGCGGTGAGGTATAAAGCAGGAGCCACTGTTTTACTGGTCAAGGTAGGCCAACCTCTGACTAATGCCAGTGGCTGAACAAAGAGGTTTATTTGCTGCTCACATTACAGTCAGGTGTGGGTCGGTGAGAGAAGTCTGTTCCGCAAGGTCATCAGAAGGCCAGGCTCCGTGCTGCTGGTACCTCCGCCATCTCCAAGACTCTTAGAATGCTCTGTACCTGGGGCAGAATGTGGAAAGGCAGCCAGAGTGGAGGACCCTGGGAGGTTTTGAGGGGCAAGACCTAGAGGCGACACATGTCCTTACATTCCACTCTGGCCAGACCTCAGTCACATGGCCACACCCAACTGCAAGGGAGGATGGGAAATGTCATTTAGTGCCATCTGGAGGAAAGAGAAATGGAGTTTGGTAAGGAGCTGGCAAGGCTTTGCCACACCCACAGATGCCTGTGGGGCCAGGCAGGCAGATTATAGGAGTTCAACAAGCAGGATGAAGAGAGAGTCTGAGGCCAAAGGGGCCTCAGTGCTGGAGACCATGTGCTCATCCGAAGAGCATAGCAGGGGTGGGCTGTGCCTGGCTGTTGCAACTAGGTTAAAAAGGGCCCCAGTTGACGTTCCCACTTGAAATCCAGGTTTTCATTTGAAATCTTCCTTTTTTAAAAATTTAGGCTCTTCTTTTTTTTTTTTGAACATGCTAACATGGCCAAACAAAACTCACCAGCAGGCCAGTGATAACCTCTGGCATAAAAGAACAAGAACAAGGCCTGGATTGGGCACTGGGAGATGGAAGTCAGATATCAGCTGTCCCCTCACTGCTTTGGACTGGTGTGAGCCCCTCCGCTTGGAGGTCTCTGTTCCCATCTGCAGGATCTGAAGCTGGGGCACGTTTCTAAAATCACTTCTAGAGCTGCCATTCCGTGATTCTGGAGTAGGTGCAAAAGGCCACCTGAGCTCTGCTTACATCATGTTTTTGCCCCTCTGCTGACGCCATGACAGGCCACCAACTAACTGGAGGAAAATTCCAGTGTCTTCTACTGGGATTTAGTCCACAAAGGCAGCACTCCTCAGGCAAAACAAAACCAGAAACTGAGTTTTCTCTGTAGCCTTCATGACTGAACAGATTATTGGGCTTGGAGGAGGGTAGGTTTTCTCAGTGATTGCCTCAGAAATTCCTTGAGTTAGAATGCTTATTTCTAGCTCATTCCATAAGGATATGGGAATCTGTTTATTGTAATGGTTAAGAGTCAATCAGACATGACTGAGTTTCAGACTCTCCCAGCTATAGAGCCTTGGTCAAGTGACTCAATCTCTCTAAGCCTTAGTTTCTTCATCAGAAACGTATTGATTTATCTCAGAAACAGAAAGTATTTATGAGATGATTAGACAGCATGCATGATTTACTTAGCACATAAGTGCTTTTAGACATCAGTTGCTTTACTACTTTTGGTTGTTCGTAATTAAGTTCTATTATTTCATTTAGATGGATACTTTGGAACCTTTTGGGGATGAATTTAGTGGAATGGCCAGATGCCCTTATGACACCAAACATGCCAACATTGCACTGTTTGCAGGTAAACGACCCGATTTCTTCTCATTGCATTTGCTTTTGCGTGTTCCCGCCCGTCGCTGGGAATCTGCTCTGGGGATTCACGGAGTCACAGTTGTGCTTTGATTCTCTGGTGAATGCTGTAATTAAGAATGCCTTTTCCATTCAAAATCATGTGAAAATGGTACTTTTGCTTCTCAAGAGAAGACTTTGCCACACTCACTCCTGATTTTGTGGCTTCAGAAAAGGGTAACAACATAGCACTGAGTATGTGCTATATCAATTAGGGCATGTTTGGGCTCAAATAATAGAAAATCCCACCTCAAACCACCAATGTGGAAAAATAAAATTTTAAATAAAAAAAAAAAACCACCAATATGCATTTATTGTTTAAGGTAGGATAGACTGTGGGGTTGGCTTGATTCAACAACTCTACGATATTATCCAGGATGCAACTACTTTCATTTCCCTGCTCTGCATCGACTCATCATGAGACTGGCTGTTCTCGCAGAGCATGGCTGTGAGCCCCAGTTAGAGCTACATGTCTTCTTGTCCACATATGGAAGAAAAAGGAAATGAAACAAAAGGAAGCTTCTGGAAGCTTTCTCAGAACTATAAGGCCACATACCTATAAGCAGCCAACAAACATCTTCTCGAATATCATTGTCCTGAATGGGTTACACCGCCCCACCCCTGTCTCTGACCAAATGATGGTGGTGGCTACGAGACAACGCTGATTGCTTGGGTTGACCATACTCTCCAACCCCACCCCTTCCTTCCACTGCAAAGGATATAACGAAATAGCAAACAGGCTATTATTTTCAGATTTAGTGGGATTTTTGTGTATGAGTTTGTGTGCTTTAATTAGGAATTTATTTAGGAATTCATTACCAGCTGTGTATGTGGAGGTGGGTGTAAAGGGAAGTGTTGGTATAACAGTGATTGTTATAGCATGTAATAAAGCAGTTAGCTAGAATTTCCATCACAGTGGCTAAAAACTGGAACATCCTAACTGGATGAGGGACTTTAGGGCTTTGATTATGAAACAAGGTTAGTTTCTGGCTCCTTGAGCCCCTACCTCAGTGCCACCCATTTGTGGGCCTGAATCTGCAGTGACAGACTGTAGAATTAAGAAGGAAAAGTTACTGAGTTCTCCCCCTAAAGCAGCAATGTCAAGAACACAGTCATGTGGAACTATTTGTAAGCAGGGGCAGGAGCAGGGATGGTGGCAAGAGTGCCCGATCACGTCCCCAAGTGGTTGAATACTGCTGGAACACCTCTCTGACACTTGGAACCTCCATTAGTCGGGACCTTGGAGGATGTGAGCTGCAGGGAAGAATTTAAATTTAGCTGTAAACTAAAAAGAGAACTTGTTGTAGCCTGAGGCAGAAGAGGGAGAATGGGCAGAGTATTAGGAAGCCTGCTAAGCTTCCAGGAGCTGGAACAAGCCACATGAGATAATACTGTGACTACTAACCCCACCCCTAGGGGTATATTTGAATAGTTTTTCATTGAAATGTTTGAAATCTCATAAAAACTCAGCTCAGCCCTTATTAATAGAAGATCCACCTTGCAAGTGAACGATGTCACAACCAAGAGGGGCAGGAAAATGTTCTGTTTTACAAGTAAAGTTCTGGTGAGATACCCAGTGTTGAAATGAATATAAAACAAAAAGAGTCCTGGACAGCAGTGAGGAGGAATACCCATCACTCCCACCTACTCCCCCCACTGACCAGGTAGTAGATCTGCATGACTCGGAGCTATAAGAATATAGAATATATATTCTATAGTCATAAATAAAGAATACCTTTTTAATCTAAGTCTTATGTTCCAAAAGAAAAGTTGTGATTTGTAGGTAATATTTTTTGTCAATGGAAAGGTTCACTGTCTGCAATTTAAATCTACCAAACTACAGCTCACACTACTGATATATTGCTGTTAATAATGCAGATATCAAGACAGCTCTAACTTGAGACCGTTACGCTTATCCTAGCCATGAAAGAGCTTAAACAGTACTACATTGTATATAAGTCACTTTGACAAACAATTAGAGAAGATATGTAATCCACTACAAATGAATTAAGGAAGTAATTTTTTATTTTGGATATAATTATTATTTCCATTTAATCTACATAGATTTTGCTGTTCTAGAACATCCCATCTCATTATTTGTTGCCAGAGTGTTTGCAAACCCAGGAAAGCATCAAAAGTTCTAAGGACTAATCTTCACTCCTTTCTCTTTTGCCTGGGGTGTATCCTCAAGCATATCTCCCCCAAAGCATGAATTCTTAAAGAAAGGCCAGTTTGAACTCAGCACCCACCCCTTCTTCTTTCTTCTTTGCTTTGGCATCTTATATATCAGAATGTTTTCAGTTTGTGACTTTGGAAATACTGAAGCGAATATCTGCTACTGAAGCTACATTGCCAGGGTTTAATAACAGAGGTGTGACTCCCAGGATATAAGTATTAATAGTTATTTAGTCAGCCCATTTTTGCTCATGAACCCTTTCTTTTTTGTTCCCATTTCCAGCTCAGGCTAAGGACTCGTTAACTTGTGCACGTACTTGAAATGTCTTATGATACAATCAGCGTCTGTCCTTCCCCGGGCTCCCCGCTAGCTAATCCACTTTACCACGGTGTGGTGGCAGTGGCAGTGTCTGAGGGTCTTTGGCCTTGAGATTTCAGTCCAGGTCCAGTTAATCAAGTGAAGCAAACAACATTTTTCATTTACTTTGTTCCCTGAGCTGCTGCTGCTGCTGCTTAAAAAAATTGCCATGCAATTTAAAAATGAAAAATGTTTCATCTCTGATGATCTCAATTTCAAATGGTTAAGAATGTGGGCCAAGTGTTTTCCCATCGACTCTTGGATTTTTCCCAATTGTCCTATCTCATTTGCCTGATGTAGGAAAGCAATCTGGGCGATGTCTTTATTATTCCTCCACCCATACTGTCTGGCTCCCACTCTGTGCACCTCTTTTCTTTGTCTTCTAAGATGGTAAACTATACTCGGCCACAGTGACTGACTTCCTTGCTATCGATGCGGTCATTTACCGGAGCCTTGGAGACAGCCCCACCCTGCGGACCGTCAAGCACGATTCCAAATGGTTAAAAGGTGAACAAACAATTAAAAGAGGGAAGGAGTGGGTCGGGAATACATACCTTGTGGGAGCTTTAGAGTCTGGAGGGGCCAGACTGTAGCTTCATTTTTGTAATGGCTTCTGACAGTCGGAGCCATGTAAATGGCATCTTTTTGCCTCAAATGATTTATTTACCTCCCTTTCTCCCTTCCCCTGAGTTTCTGGAGTATTAAGAAAACTACCAGTGCCACCAACAATAGAATACATTACATTCATCTTTCCCTGCCTCAAACTCTCATTTCAGTATCCCACATGAAAAGAACGGAACAATTCATGCATGGAGGGGGATTGGAGGTGGTGGGGGAAGAGGAAAAAAGCTATTCACAGCCTTTCGTGAGTCAGGGTGACCAGGCAATGTGTACAAAATCCTCTCTGTAATATGAGCAGGCCATTGTGGAAAATAAAATTACAGAGATATGCAAAACCCATTTATTCTTTATTGTTGATTGCAAAGCTTCTGAAAGATACAATCTGTAAGCTCGAATGCCTTCTAAAATCACCAGCACTTGCATGTGTGAAGTCATTAGAAATGGTTAGTGTTAACCAAATGTCTAATGGCCCTACACTTTTAATTAATAACATGTCTTTGGTTACACTTGACTGAAATTCTTTTAACTGTGTGTGACATGTTCTCAATTAAAGTGTCCATTTGTTCGCAGAACCATACTTTGTCCAAGCGGTGGATTATGGCGACTATATCTACTTCTTCTTCAGGGAAATAGCAGTGGAGTACAACACCATGGGAAAGGTAGGTGGAGGGGGCGTCCATGGCTCCCTTTGTAACATTTTAAGAAACTCACTTTTGGACCAGTGTTGTTATGAGTGACCTTAAAATGAGAACCATAAATCAAATGACAAGGTCATCATTTTAAGAAGATGCAGCCCAAGATTGGCAGACGTGGTGCACCGCGCTGTCTGCAAGTCCTAAGTGCTTTTTCAGAACAGTAAGGAATTACAGGTAACCTCTCAGGTATTTCAATTGAAAATTTAACTGACAGATGTTTGGTTGATTTCATACTGGGTCTCAAGTATACCGAGATGTGGTTTACAGGTATACGCCACACCTTTTTCTTTTTAATTGAGTTGCTCCACAGAGAGAGTAAATAACCAATGTCTTTAAGTAAACTGAATCCTGATTTTTGTCTTTATTGCAAAAAGCAATAGAACCCTTAGGGGATGTCGGTTGTTTTGACCAGAGAGTAGATCCAGGGCCCTAGGTTCCAGGGCAGAAAATAACGCAGGGATGGTTTGCACAGATTCAGGGCCCAGAGGCAGCTAGGGAGGATGGCAGAGATGATGCATACAAAGTGTGCTTTTGTTTGAGGAAATAAAAAGCTAAGCAGTCTGTATGGAAATGAGTTTATGTGGCTGGGAGCTGATCCCCTGAAGGATTTATGGCTCTGTATTAAATGCCACAGCCTTATCTTTTAAAACATGCTGTTCCAGTGCTGAGTTTTCCTCTTTTTTTTTTTTTTTTTTTTTTTTTTTTAAATAGGGCACGGTTCTCTTTCTGTTGTACTAAATTCAGGAGGGCAGGAAACTTTTTTGCTACTGATTTTGGAAAGAGTATTAAATTAAACACCTTGTTGTTTTGTCTCTATTTTCAAGGAAATGCAAATTCTAGCAAGATCTCCTCCCCAGATGACTGCATTTCATCTTCCCCGTGTGTTTTTCCTCTGCAGGTAGTGTTCCCGAGAGTGGCTCAGGTTTGTAAAAACGACATGGGAGGGTCTCAGAGAGTTCTGGAGAAACAGTGGACGTCTTTCCTGAAGGCGCGGCTGAACTGCTCCGTTCCCGGAGACTCTCACTTCTATTTCAACATACTCCAGGCGGTTACAGATGTGATTCGTATTAATGGCCGTGACGTTGTCCTGGCAACCTTTTCCACACCTTATAATAGGTAACCATGCCTGGCTGTGTTGACCTCATCAGTTCTTCCCGGCTTCCTTTTCCCAAGGGCTTCTCTTCTCATGCATGATATTCACAACTGACTGTTTTTAAACTGCTTGTAGCGAAGAAGCACTTAACACTTAGCTTTCATCAACAAATTAATAGTAATTTATAAGCACTGTTAGACTAGGGTTTTAGGGAAAGTAACTAGATAAATGACAACAGTATCTTCTGTTTATATGCCTAGCATGTAAACACTATTCATGTGTTATTTCTAGATCTCTCCAGCAATCCTGAACTCTAGATAATAATATTGTTAATTTTTTTTCCACTTGAGGAAACTGAGCTCAAAATATTACACTATACCTGGTCCATGCAGTCAGCAGATGGAAGAGGCAGTTTTGGAACCTAAGATGTTTCTCCTGTCTATTCTAGGTCATCTAACATTGTATAGTATTGACTTTCAGTATTTCCATGACTAGATCAGTACTTTTTGAAGTAAGAACACTGGAAATGTATTAAAATGACTCAGGGTAAAATTTAGGATTCAGATGAGTCTATCATGCATCTCATCTAAGGGACCCTGGTTATTTACTATCCTGTCCAGAGAAGTTGCTTCGGGGCGACCTCACTCAACAAGTTGGGCCACAGCCCAGATCCCAAGCATGGCACCATTGTCTGACTTTGGAGGGCTCTAGTGAGGATATATATATAAGTCACCAAACATGGTACCTAGAAATGTTGCGCATCATATTCTTTCCTATGTATGTATTTAGTTAAAGCTAAGGCTTTGAGCAATTAAATGACATAGTAATAATTGTTCCTAGAATAGTGAAAATGTGTGGAAATGAAAGAGTAGAAGGAAGATAAGCATTAGCATCCCTCCTTAGTGCTGAATTCTCTGCTAAGCCAACAAGACTTCAGAGTCCTGGCACTGTTGTGTGAAAACGACCCTAACTCTGGGCATGGTCATGAAATCTAAATTCATGTACTCTGCTCTCCTTTCTATGTGGAATTTTGGATGTTCTTTAAAGAATATCTTCTTGTAGGAAGACACTGTCTTGCTTTGGATGATGCTTTTTATAAGGACTTGTAAGAACTTGAGTGCCCAGGTGACAGGCACAACAATGATGAGATTGGTGGGATAGCATCTGGAAAGAAATGCTTAGGGATTGGGTAGAGCCCAGACCAGAGCAAGCTGCAAGATGAAATCAGTTATAGAGAAGGCAAGACTCAACAGTCCCCCACTGAAGATATATAAAAATATGACCCCGTATTACAGCAAGATTCGAGTAAACTTTAACCATCTACAGGAATTTTTAGACTCGAGCATAGAAAATACATTAAAAAATTCAGGCCTTGGTTGTTCATACATCAGAATCCATCTATCTAGGATTTTGAAAAAGTATACTGTCTTGGCACATGGGGCTAGTGGAATTTAAGAGTGCATTTCTAGTTTTTTACTTTTTTGTTTTCTTTGTATAAGAGTGTGGGTTACTTTATGATTACAACATAGTAGTAGGTTCCTGCATATTATAGATGCTCCGTTTGAAGTATTTCCTTAAATGGCTTCTGAGAAATATTCACTCAGTACATGCTTTTGTAGTCTCAAAAACCGTATTTGTTTGGTAAACTCAGAAAATGGTAATCTAACGTCACAGTTTAAAAGTATGCATACCCATCTTCATCTATAAATTATAGTCCCTCTCTGGTTTTTACTCCTGATTTCATCCCTCTCCACTCTTTCCCTCACACAGGGAAACTTGGTCATGTCAGATTATTTCAAATCCTTTGGGGTCACTTCCCGTAGGACCGTGTGCATATTTCTTTTTATATGTTGCTCTTACCCTATTGTCCGTTTGTCGTTATTATTGCTGATGGCATTATTATACTGGCCCCCACACTGAACTGTGAGCCAACTGAGGGCAGACAGGACTCTGTGTTATTTATGAAGTGTTTACTGCTTTAGCTTAGGGATTCCATAAATATATGTTGAATGAAGACAAGGTGGGAAGAAAGGAATGAAGGAAAAATGACAAGAAGGGAAAGAGGTAGGAAGAAAAGTAGGGAAGGAAGAAGAAAGGATTTTACAAGTGATTCTAACCTTGGGAAAATTAGAAAACCCCAGGGTATCTTTAGTTATTACAAGGTGCATCATAAAATACTTCAGGCAGTATTTAACAAATTCTTAACAAATTATCATATTCTTAACAAATAAGGCAAATAATGTATACAAACCTGTTACTTTTAGGAAACGAAGATGTGAAGAGAGTCTTACAACATTAAATAAATAATGCTCAGGTTCTGAAATTCCAAAATAAATGTGGATCACTGTCTTACATATTCAATTCTGCAAACAATATACACATATATACGCTTTAAAATTTATCGAGCCACCGTGTATGAAATACGCTTTCTAATCCTCTCCCTATTTCTCGCTTTATTAGTAATACTTGAGTAATTGTGTTATGACATTAAAGATGGCATAAACTTTCCCAATCATTTATGAAGTGATTTCCATATCTTCTCAACATTTGCAGAATCAGAACTAAATCATTCTCACTGCCCACAGATGTCCCCACTGGTCCCCGCGTCTCCTGCTGTGTAATGGCCCACTACCTCACAGCCTGATTAAAGCTCTTGGCCAGCTGGTGCCTACAATTTATTTGACCAAAATCAAGGAGAGACCACTCTCAAAAACAATTGTGGGTTCAAATGTAAACTGTGTACCCAGATGAATGAATAATTCACTTCTTCCCACCATTGATGAAAAAAAAAAAAAAAAGCCCAAGTCCTTCCAAGAGTTCCAGGCAAGGATATAATCATAGGTGGAGATTACAGTCATTATTATTATTTAGCATTTTATAGAGCACTTTATTTGCAAAGTGCTGGTGTTTTAAAGGCTTAAATTGTTTAGTCTTATGCAAGTAATTAAGAAGTAAAACTTTTAATGTACAGAGACTAATATAAAATGTGTGTGGGTTTCCCACACACATTCTCACACCCTGAGTCCTTGGCTTGAAGAACTAAATTCAAAGAAGCAATTTGTGGACAGTTGGGGGCACATTTGTTTCAAATTTTCACCAATATTAAAAATGCAGAATGTTCTCTAGAGATTTTTGTCTTTGGGTTATTGACAATTAATATTAAGAAATTCATGAAACTTTTATCACCAGCCCAACAATTCTTCCTTTATAAATAAAAGCAGTTCAAAAGGCTATGTAGACATTTTTCTCTCTGTGAGTTTGCTGTAACTAGCCTATTCTTTAAAGGCCATTGATGCAAATTTGATTGACAGGAACATTCTCTTTATGCACTAAGGTCCCTTACATTTGTAATGTTCAGAGTTTGAAACCCATTGACTGCCACACTAGAAAAAAAATTTTTTCCTTGGGGCCATGGTGTTTTATTATGAAAATAGAATAAAAACTTTGAAAACACAACAATCCTTTATAATTTAATGAAAAATTTGTTATTTTTTATTGTTTTCTGTGCTTGAGTCATATGCATCTTGAAAAAATAGTTTTCATGGCTCCCAAGGTAAAAAAATATGTGAGTTTCATATGGTTCCTGAGGCCCGGGCTCAAAACTAGCGTGAGTTAAATACAACTCACATGGTAGCTAATGTGGTAAATTTCAACTGCCTGCAATAGGAAAGTTTATTTGGAGTATGTTTTCTAAACTGCATGCATAAGCGTTGCATGAGTAACACTTTTTATGAAATGTCATTTTATAGCATCCCTGGCTCTGCAGTCTGTGCCTATGACATGCTTGATATTGCCAATGTTTTTACTGGACGGTTCAAAGAACAGAAGTCTCCCGATTCCACCTGGACGCCAGTTCCTGATGAACGAGTTCCTAAACCCAGGTACGTTCAAATACATTTCATACACACATACACACACACACACACACACACACATACATATATATATATGACTATTCTAAACATTTAGAAATAGTGATGCTCGCTCCTCTGACAGTGAACATCCTGTAAATTGCACATCAGTGCCTTCTGCGCTAGCCAAGCTGATACAAATGTCAGAACAATAGAAAGGCTATGAGATCTTTTGCCTTCATCCCATTAACCAAACCCAGAGTTACCTTTTAATATAGTCAAAGCAGTGATTCTCTAGTCTTTTGCTTAACCTCGCTACATGTGATTTATTCAGTGTATAATAGGAACCATCTGATACAGCCGGCCCATTGGTCTATAGGTGAGGAAACGGAGGCCCAGACATATGTAGTACAAGTTCATATAACTGGGAAGATTATTTCCATTGCTCCTTCCTATTTCCCTTCATTTTGTGGAGATCCGTGCCTTCAAACTCTGATAAAGTGTGCAATATAAATGATATTCCCTGGGTTTTGTGACTAAGCTGGATCACAGCTGAGTTCAAGTTTCCCAGACCAAGAGCAAGAATCCATTGGAAACGGTGGATTGTTAGAATCTCTGTTAGAAGATTGTTAGAATCTCTGCCAGGTGCTGGTCTGTTTGGGGTCTAGAAGCAGTGCCGTATACCTCCCCACCAAACCATGCCCTAGAATTGCTTTCATTGGGAACCTGTGGTTCCAGAGACTTTTCGGTTCCCCCGTAATCTTCAATTCTCATGCTAAGCTGGCTAACTCATTCTTTCTAGCCGGGACCAGATGGAACTCTCCCCCAACCCTGTGCCTGCCCTCTTTGTGTGGCACACACTCCCACCTCCTCAAAGCAGTTGAGGTCTGCGTTCTGTAGGAACTTCCTGCTATGTCTGCCCTTCCCCGCTGGAGTCCTGAGCCTCCAGAAGTAAGCCCAATGTCGTATGAAGCTTTTGGTTGTCCAACTCTCTTCCCCAGCCTCCAATCCTCCCCACAGAATACCTAGCCAAGTGCACCTGGGAGAAACGCCTGCGGTTCGCCCACCTGGATCATCTGGCACGCTCACACTCTGTCGCTTCTGGAGAACAGATTAGGTGCAAAAAGCACACCTCAGCAACCTCAGATAGATCCTCCAGGCCATTCCCTGGGACTGTTTACTGTTTCTAGATAGGCAGGAAGAGGAGTTCAGCCTGAGGGCTCAGGTTTCAGAAAGTTCCAATGTAATACTCTCGTTGGTGTGTAAAGATGGTGTCACTCAGCCATCACTAGGACACGCACTGTAAGTGACTTTCTATCCTCACTCAGCCATCACTAGGACATGCACTGTAAGTGACTTTCTATCCTCACTCAGCCATCACTAGGACATGCACTGTAAGTGACTTTCTATCCTCACTCAGCCATCACTAGGACACGCACTGTAAGTGACTTTCTATCCTCACTCAGCCATCACTAGGACACGCACTGTAAGTGACTTTCTATCCGTCCGTGGCAATGGGTACATCCTTCCACCTCCTTCCCACATCCTTACCCACATCCTTCCACGTGTTTGCCTTGTCCCTCAGGCAGAATCAGGACGCTGTCGTGGGGCTGGCTGGGACAGTTCCTTGAAACAGTGTCCACATACAGGTAACTCATGCTGGTGTTGTGGGGGTCCAGTCCCCTCTCCTGCACCACAGGCAAACCACGTGTCTGGACAGGATTGGCTTCAGTGCTTCCCTGACCTGACTTTGCTGGGATGTCTCTTGACTCCTGACACTACAGAATTTCTTGTAGTAGCAAATTTCCACCATCATTGTTCAGTTATAAGAAAATGACCTTTCAGGAAAGAACTCTCAGTATAATTGGCTTTTCATATATGCCAAAATCAAACAAAAATATAAACAACAATAAAAAAACAAAACCCAAATGTTCTCGGAGCGAGCCCCAGATAATGAGAGATGGCTGCATTGAATCCTGCTGCTATGTTTTTTGAATGTCTTTGTTTTCCGCTTCCCTTTGTAGAGCAAAATACGTCAAGAACCTCTAGCAGAGTTTCTGAATAACGAGGGCTGTCCCTGAGATGTGTGCAAACCACACTCCCTCGTTTCGAGCTCCATGACTGTTTACTGGCGTTTATTTTTGCTTCTTAGAGGAAGCCAACTGCCCCCAGCTGAGCTGAACCGCGCTGGCTGAGGCTCCTATACGAAACGAGGAGGCGGCTCAGAGGAAATCTCAGCATATTGTATGTGGTGGCATTCTGCATTGTTCCACTTCCTCTTCTCAGCCTGCAGCACATTCCCCTTCATGCCAAGTGCTTAGAGAAGCAGTTCATTCAAAGAATTTGCCACAAGGCACAAAATAAGCTCCCTCCCTCCCACCCTTTGTTTCATTTTAGGCCGGGTTGCTGCGCTGGCTCATCCACCTTAGAAAAATATGCAACCTCCAATGAGTTTCCTGATGATACCCTGAACTTCATCAAGACGCACCCGCTCATGGATGAGGCAGTGCCCTCCATCTTCAACAGGCCATGGTTCCTGAGGACGATGGTCAGGTGGGTGTCAAGCAAGCCATGTCCTAAGTGGAGTTCCATCGCTTTATCTTGTGCTTGCAGAACCTGTCAGTGGAACATGCTTTGAAATGCCACAAACATCTTCTGCTATCCTGGGCATTGATTCAGCTGTGAAAAGTTGGCCAGTTGGGCAGATGCCACAAAACCCCCATAGCCACATTCCCAGTGAGGAATGTTCCAATGTTTTCAGGCTAGTTGGACACACACCAGCAATTAAAGGAAAGAAATATATCTCCTTCTGGATTAGTATATTAATCCGATCTGTGCAAAAATAGAGGAGCGGTGAAGGAGAACCATGGAGTGGATGTGGATACCTGTTTGGTTGCACATGATTGCAAAACATGCTGCAGATGCCACCTGAGCATGGTCCCTGGGTTGTTTGCTGTGAAACACAGCACAGACGTCACATCTGCCAGCATGGAGCATTCGTGTACTACGTTACTATTCATTATCTGAAGTGGTGGCCAACAGAGAAAGGATAGCTGATTAGAGATCTATGATAACATCGAATCCTCTTTTTTGTATTTATTTAAGACTTATTTCCAAACAATTCAACGGGTTTTTTCAAGTACCATCCAATTGTGGCAGTCATCAGACAAAATGTTTATTAACTTTATCACCATTTTTATACTGTGACGTTACTGAAAGATATTAAAGTCTGTGATAACTCTTGCCCATAAAACGGAAACCAGAGTATATAACTTGCAGGAAGATCCATGTTTTCTGGTTACCAGCTACGGTGCTTAGGACAAATAGGTATCCAGAGAATGTCAAAAAATGGAGGGATGTCAGAAAGAGGACGCCCAGTAGGGCTTACGTTAGGCGTGGCCTTCACCTTGGGCATTCAAGGGTGGTATTTGACTTGCATGTCCTTATATTTACTATATTTCCTTATATTTACTAGTAGTGCTGTTGGCACTCCACCCCCCATCCTTCAGAGCTCTCTCAGCCCCTCTGCATACAATCAGAAAGCTTTCCAGTCTCACATGTTGTTGAGGAAGGCATTGTACCTCAGAGTAAGAATATGGAAAAATGGTAGTCATTGCTGTTCTTTTCAATGCTAAATGAAATGTTAAGTGAGTTCACTTATTTTTTTTACCTCTTTACAGAATATATCAGTCTTCCCCTGTTGCTCATGGAAGAAATCACTGCTGAGTGGTTTCAGATGGTTACGGCTGTCCATGTATTATGGAACTTTGCCTGTACACACACACACACACACACACACACACACACACCTCCTTCCTCCCCTTTGGAGCCACACTAATGCTCTGCATATGGAAATAGAAGGCCAGAACCGCTTGAGAACGTTGTTCACATGCATATATTTTTCTTGAGGTTATTACTAGAAAGCTATGTCACAAGTGTTTGAAGTGGAAAAGGGGACACTTTAATGATAGACCAACAAAGAAATAAAAAATGTGATGCTGTCATTTTAGATACCGCCTGACCAAAATTGCAGTGGACACCACTGCTGGGCCGTATCAGAATCACACTGTGGTTTTTCTGGGATCAGAGAAGGGAATCATCTTGAAGTTCTTGGCCAGGATAGGAAACGGTGGTTTTCTAAATGACAGCCTTTTCCTGGAGGAGATGAGCGTTTACAACCCCGAAAAGTGAGTGGAATGTTTGATTCTTTCTCAGTAATTATTTGTTATGCTCCTATGATCCCTTTCATTCGGGGAAAATCATGGCAGACTTAAATATTGCGGATTTTTAGACGGGTTTTAATACTGTTCGTAAAAATTTTTTAACAGATAAAAGGCATTTTCTGCTTGCCAATAATGTGTGTGTTTATGTAGATACACGCGCGTGCACGTTTATGTGTTTGCATGTGTGCCTGTGCGTGAGGCTCTGTTTCACTTCCGGGTAGATCAGATGAAGAGATCACCTTGCGGGCTGGGACGTGGGATGTGGGGCTGATGGCAGGAAAAAGAGAACCGGCCCAAGAGAGTCTAGGAATAATATAATTCTGCTGCAAAATTAGATGCAGCTACGATGGAGTGGAAGACAAGCGGATCGTGGGCATGCAGCTTGACAGAGCCAGCAGCTCCCTGTACGTCGCCTTCTCCACCTGTGTGATAAAGGTCCCCCTCGGCCGCTGTGAGCGACACGGGAAGTGTAAAAAGTACGTATTTCGCCCCATCGACGATCACAGATAGAAAGTTTGCAGTGTCAGGAAGGAGTCCTAGGTCGCTCATGGTCATCTCTTCCTGCAGAACCTGTATCGCCTCCAGAGACCCGTACTGCGGGTGGGTGAAGGAAGCCGGTGCCTGTGCCCACCTGTCACCCAGCAGCAGGTAAGGACCCCAGAGTGCTGGAAGGGAGAGAGTGGCCGCTGGCTGCTGTGCATGCCGGACACGCGTTGCACACGCCGCCACACAGCCTGCACGCACACACCCGGCCACGGGACTGTCGGCCCTTCCCCGTCCCTTTCCCGTTTCCTAGAACCTCGCGGCATCACGTGCGACAGATTTCCAATTGACTAATCATCCTCGGACTGATTAAAAACACAGAGAAAGGAGACACCACGGGATTAAAGTATTCCCCGAAGAGAGGGACAAGAAGGTGCCTGCCTTGATCATCACAGTAGGAGAAAAGGAGCAGTCGGATACCAATTAGATTCGCGAGCGGTTTGTCCAGCCACAGCGAAACTGGCTCTTCTAATTGACCGTTCAGAGCAGAGAAGAAATTGCAGGTTCAGGGCAGAGAAGAAATTGCAGAGCATTGGTTAGGCAGTGCATCTGTACTGCAAGCCTGGCGTAGACACCCAGTGAACCTTTCTCCTGAGCTGACGGCCAGTTGACCCTGTAACTCGTTAGGCAGTCTATCAATTCTTGGCAGTTCTCCAACAGATCAGCTAGAGCGGGCCAGTCTACCATGCCTGTGATTTTTGGCGTTTAAAATTGTCACCCTGGCTTTCCATGTTTACATGGCATAGGCTAAGATATTTCTTTTTTATGTTTTAACTTCAGCGGATGTGGAATCCAAAGTAACATTTGGAAAAATATCCGATGCATGTCTTTGACAGGTTATGGCAACTCAAGGAAGGTGCCATATGGCGGTACAGGTCTTTCTTTTGTCGCAGCCATTTATTCAATCTCCCCAGATCCAGAGGGGAAATAGAACCATCTTCGTATTACCCTGAGAGTCCTTTCCTATTTTAGAATAGCTAGACAGACACAAGGGCATATGTGATGACTGCCACCTGCCTAATTTGAGGGCAAGTATTCTCATAAACAGAGCTAATGATAACTGTAAAATCTGACCCGGAAATTTGACTACTGCAGAGGGTTGACTCACTATATATTATTAGAACAGCTTTACAAGTAGCAATATTGACATACTCTCATGTTAGAGTTTTATATCTTTTCATGGGAACCCTTGAGGTAGAGGAGAAAGGATTGTAAAGAAAGCACAGTGAGTTTAGCTAAGAAGTGACCTGTCTCCTTTCTGTATTCAACATGTGACCAAAGGTAGTAAGACTGACTTTTTAAAAAATTATTTTTAAGTCATCATCAGAACACGGGCTCGCATATATATTTCGGTGATGCTGGCTGGCATTGCTCATTGCTCAAAACATGGGCACTCCCCTTGGAGAGTGGGCTTCAGAGCATGATGAATATGGACTCTCATTACCATTAGAAATCTTTATTGTTTGAGGATAAATATGATTTTTTAATGCAGCAAGAGATAAGTGAAACCAAACAGGGTGGATTATTAGGTCAAGTTGTGACTTTCAAAATAGTTTTTTCCTATATGGCTCATAAATAAACTCTGAAGGCAGTTGCAAAACAGGAGTTTCAATTATATGATGGAGCTAAGCATAAAGTTCCCCAAAGAAGGACAATACTCCTGTGCATGATTCTAGTGTGCTTATTTTAAAAATCAAAATAGATATTATTAAAGTTGGTTTTGTTGATGGTATGTACAGCACATTGGTGAGCTAGTAGACTTGTACAAAACGTGAGCATGTGGCAGAGAGTGAGAGCAATGCTCTGATGATTGGGGTTGACGGGGAGTGCATAAAATATCCAAGTGATCTCAGCAAAATGCCCCCCACCCGGATCTGATCCCAGACAGGTCCCACATATCCACTGGCCATTTGGACTTTTGAACACTTTATTTATGCAAGTTTTTGCTAAGCAAAGAAATATAGGTCAAGAATAGGAATGAATAAGAAAATGGAGAGGAAAAGACTTCTTTTTAAGACCTCTGTATTGTTTACATGAGGAGTGTATTTTGACATCTAAACTTTCAAAAATGTTTAAGAAGCGGTCAGGGAATCATAATAAAAGAAAGATAAAAATAATCCACAAAGTAGTTAAATCTTTGAATAATATCTGAACTAGATGCTTTTAAAGCAAGGCTTCTCTTTGGAGACTCAAACCAGTGCAAACTTCAGAGATAAATTTTCCAGTTGTTATCTATTTCTTTTTTGCACCTGCCACTCAGCTTATGAAACTGTGTTACTTTCTTTGGTGAAACTTAAGACTCATTCCTGAATAATGACTTACATTATTGCATTTGTTTCTGTCTCTCTTTTCCCTCCTGTTTTTAAAGACTGACTTTTGAGCAGGACATAGAGCGTGGCAACACAGACGGTCTGGGGGACTGTCACAGTAAGTACAGCCTTTTATCCATTTTTATCTTTGGGCAAAGATGCTTTCATCATATGGCCTAGAAACATCACCCCACATGTGGAACTGAGTGCAGCTGACACTAAAGGCATGCATAAATAACAGAAATCATCTTCTAAATATCAAATAAAGCAGGCAGTGTGTTCTAAAGCCAGTGTTGTCAGTGTTGTCACTACCAATGCTGGCACCTATTTCATTATTCCAATGCTGGGGAACGAAGTCACTCTAGAGAATATCAATTATAGCAAAGCAGTAAGTTATATCAGCATTTCCATTATAAAATGACAGTTTTGTTGTTTTTTAAAATGTGCTATTACACTGTCATTTTTAGCCAACTAATAAAAAGACTGATCATTGTACTCTAGCTTTTGAATTGAGTGGGACTGTTTTATTCTTCTTGAACATATCGACTAACAAAAGTAATTATTTTTTTAAATTAGATTTATGTCTATTACCACTTGTAATAGAAAAAAATTTCAGGACTAACCATAAGTACAAGGCAATTCAAAATAGCTTTTTTGCAGGAATTGACATTCTTGAGGTTATTTACTAAAAGTAGTCACAAGTGTTTTAAGTGGAGAAAAGGGACACTTTAATGATAGACCAACAAAGAATAAAAAATGTGATGCTGTTCATTTGAGATACCGCCTGACCAAAATTGCAGTGGACACCACTGCTGGGCCGTATCAGAATCACACTGTGTTTTTCTGGATCAGAGAAGGCATCATCTGAAGTTCTGGCCAGGATAGGAACGGTGGTTTCTAATGACAGCCTTTTCCTGGAGGAGATGAGCGTTTACAACCCGAAAAGTGAGGGGAATGTTTGATTCTTTCTCAGTAATTATTTGTTATGCTACCTATGATCCCTTTCTCGGGGAAAATCATGGCAGACTTAATTATTGCGGATTTAGACGCGTTTTTAATGCTGTTCTAAAAATTTTTTAACGATAAAAGCGATTTTCTGTGCCAATAATGTGTGTTTTATGTAGATACACCGCGTGCACGTTTATGTGTTTGCGTTGGTGCCTGTGCGTGCAGGCTCTTTTCACTCCGGGTAGATCAGATGAAGAGATCACCTTGCGGCTGGGACGTGGGATGGGGGCTGATGGCAGGAAAAAGAGAACCGGGCCAAGGAGTTCTAGAATCATATAATTCTGGCTGCAAAATTAGATGCAGCTACGAGAGTGGAAGACAAGCGGATCGTGGGCATGCAGCTCGACAGAGCCAGCAGCTCCCTGTAACGTCGCCTTCTCCACCTGTGTGATAAAGGTCCCTCGGCCGCTAGTGACGACACGGGAAGTGTAAAAAGTACGTATTTGCCCCATCGACGATCACAGAAGAAGTTGCAGTGTCGAGGAAAGGAGTCCTAGGTCGCTCATGTCATCTCTTCCTGCAGACCTGATCGCCTCCAGAGACCCGTACTGCGCGGTGGTGAAGGAGACCGGTGCCTGTGCCCACCTGGTCACCCAGCAGCAGGTAAGGACCCCAAGAGTGCTGGGAAGGGAAGAGTGGCCGCTGGCTGCTGTGCATGCCGGACACGCGTTGCACACGCGCGCACACAGCCTGCACGCACACACCGCCACGGGACTGCGCGCCCTTCCCGTCCTTTCCCGTTTCCTAGAACCTCGCGGCATCACGTGCGACAGATTTCAATTGATAATCATCCTCGGACTGATTAAAAACACAGAGAAAGGAGACACCACGGGATTAAAGTATCCCCGAAGAGAGGACAAGAAGGTGCCTGCCTTGATCATACAGTAGGAGAAAGGAGCAGTCGGATACCAATTAGATCGCGAGCGCGTTGTCAGCCACAGCGAAACTGGCTCTTCTAATTACCGTTCAGTCACTCAGCCATCACTAGGACACGCACTGTAAGTGACTTTCTATCCGTCCTGGCAATGGGTACATCCTTCCACCTCCTTCCCACATCCTTACCCACATCCTTCCACGTGTTTGCCTTGTCCCTCAGGCAGAATCAGGACGCTGTCGTGGGGCTGGCTGGGACAGTTCCTTGAAACAGTGTCCACATACAGGTAACTCATGCTGGTGTTGTGGGGGTCCAGTCCCCTCTCCTGCACCACAGGCAAACCACGTGTCTGGACAGGATTGGCTTCAGTGCTTCCCTGACCTGACTTTGCTGGGATGTCTCTTGACTCCTGACACTACAGAATTTCTTGTAGTAGCAAATTTCCACCATCATTGTTCAGTTATAAGAAAATGACCTTTCAGGAAAGAACTCTCAGTATAATTGGCTTTTCATATATGCCAAAATCAAACAAAAATATAAACAACAATAAAAAAACAAAACCCAAATGTTCTCGGAGCGAGCCCCAGATAATGAGAGATGGCTGCATTGAATCCTGCTGCTATGTTTTTTGAATGTCTTTGTTTTCCGCTTCCCTTTGTAGAGCAAAATACGTCAAGAACCTCTAGCAGAGTTTCTGAATAACGAGGGCTGTCCCTGAGATGTGTGCAAACCACACTCCCTCGTTTCGAGCTCCATGACTGTTTACTGGCGTTTATTTTTGCTTCTTAGAGGAAGCCAACTGCCCCCAGCTGAGCTGAACCGCGCTGGCTGAGGCTCCTATACGAAACGAGGAGGCGGCTCAGAGGAAATCTCAGCATATTGTATGTGGTGGCATTCTGCATTGTTCCACTTCCTCTTCTCAGCCTGCAGCACATTCCCCTTCATGCCAAGTGCTTAGAGAAGCAGTTCATTCAAAGAATTTGCCACAAGGCACAAAATAAGCTCCCTCCCTCCCACCCTTTGTTTCATTTTAGGCCGGGTTGCTGCGCTGGCTCATCCACCTTAGAAAAATATGCAACCTCCAATGAGTTTCCTGATGATACCCTGAACTTCATCAAGACGCACCCGCTCATGGATGAGGCAGTGCCCTCCATCTTCAACAGGCCATGGTTCCTGAGGACGATGGTCAGGTGGGTGTCAAGCAAGCCATGTCCTAAGTGGAGTTCCATCGCTTTATCTTGTGCTTGCAGAACCTGTCAGTGGAACATGCTTTGAAATGCCACAAACATCTTCTGCTATCCTGGGCATTGATTCAGCTGTGAAAAGTTGGCCAGTTGGGCAGATGCCACAAAACCCCCATAGCCACATTCCCAGTGAGGAATGTTCCAATGTTTTCAGGCTAGTTGGACACACACCAGCAATTAAAGGAAAGAAATATATCTCCTTCTGGATTAGTATATTAATCCGATCTGTGCAAAAATAGAGGAGCGGTGAAGGAGAACCATGGAATGGATGTGGATACCTGTTTGGTTGCACGTGATTGCAAAACATGCTGCAGATGCCACCCGAGCATGGTCCCTGGGTTGTTTGCTGTGAAACACAGCACAGACATCACATTTGCCAGCATGGGGCATTCATGTACTATGTTACTATTCATTATCTGAAGTGGTGGCCAACAGAGAAAGGATAGCTGATTAGAGATCTATGATAACATCGAATCCTCTTTTTTGTATTTATTTAAGACTTATTTCCAAACAATTCAACGGGTTTTTTCAAGTACCATCCAATTGTGGCAGTCATCAGACAAAATGTTTATTAACTTTATCACCATTTTTATACTGTGACGTTACTGAAAGATATTAAAGTCTGTGATAACTCTTGCCCATAAAATGGAAACCAGAGTATATAACTTGCAGGAAGATCCATGTTTTCTGGTTACCAGCTACGGTGCTTAGGACAAATAGGTATCCAGAGAATGTCAAAAAATGGAGGGATGTCAGAAAGAGGACGCCCAGTAGGGCTTACGTTAGGCGTGGCCTTCACCTTGGGCATTCAAGGGTGGTATTTGACTTGCATGTCCTTATATTTACTATATTTCCTTATATTTACTAGTAGTGCTGTTGGCACTCCACCCCCCATCCTTCAGAGCTCTCTCAGCCCCTCTGCATACAATCAGAAAGCTTTCCAGTCTCACATGTTGTTGAGGAAGGCATTGTACCTCAGAGTAAGAATATGGAAAAATGGTAGTCATTGCTGTTCTTTTCAATGCTAAATGAAATGTTAAGTGAGTTCACTTATTTTTTTTACCTCTTTACAGAATATATCAGTCTTCCCCTGTTGCTCATGGAAGAAATCACTGCTGAGTGGTTTCAGATGGTTACGGCTGTCCATGTATTATGGAACTTTGCCTGTACACACACACACACACACACACACACACACACACACACCTCCTTCCTCCCCTTTGGAGCCACACTAATGCTCTGCATATGGAAATAGAAGGCCAGAACCGCTTGAGAACGTTGTTCACATGCATATATTTTTCTTGAGGTTATTACTAGAAAGCTATGTCACAAGTGTTTGAAGTGGAAAAGGGGACACTTTAATGATAGACCAACAAAGAAATAAAAAATGTGATGCTGTCATTTTAGATACCGCCTGACCAAAATTGCAGTGGACACCACTGCTGGGCCGTATCAGAATCACACTGTGGTTTTTCTGGGATCAGAGAAGGGAATCATCTTGAAGTTCTTGGCCAGGATAGGAAACGGTGGTTTTCTAAATGACAGCCTTTTCCTGGAGGAGATGAGCGTTTACAACCCCGAAAAGTGAGTGGAATGTTTGATTCTTTCTCAGTAATTATTTGTTATGCTACTATGATCCCTTTCATTCGGGGAAAATCATGGCAGACTTAAATATTGCGGATTTTTAGACGGGTTTTAATACTGTTCGTAAAAATTTTTTAACAGATAAAAGGCATTTTCTGCTTGCCAATAATGTGTGTGTTTATGTAGATACACGCGCGTGCACGTTTATGTGTTTGCATGTGTGCCTGTGCGTGAGGCTCTGTTTCACTTCCGGGTAGATCAGATGAAGAGATCACCTTGCGGGCTGGGACGTGGGATGTGGGGCTGATGGCAGGAAAAAGAGAACCGGCCCAAGAGAGTCTAGGAATCATATAATTCTGCTGCAAAATTAGATGTAGCTACGATGGAGTGGAAGACAAGCGGATCGTGGGCATGCAGCTTGACAGAGCCAGCAGCTCCCTGTACGTCGCCTTCTCCACCTGTGTGATAAAGGTCCCCCTCGGCCGCTGTGAGCGACACGGGAAGTGTAAAAAGTACGTATTTCGCCCCATCGACGATCACAGATAGAAAGTTTGCAGTGTCAGGAAGGAGTCCTAGGTCGCTCATGGTCATCTCTTCCTGCAGAACCTGTATCGCCTCCAGAGACCCGTACTGCGGGTGGGTGAAGGAAGCCGGTGCCTGTGCCCACCTGTCACCCAGCAGCAGGTAAGGACCCCAGAGTGCTGGAAGGGAGAGAGTGGCCGCTGGCTGCTGTGCATGCCGGACACGCGTTGCACACGCCGCCACACAGCCTGCACGCACACACCCGGCCACGGGACTGTCGGCCCTTCCCCGTCCCTTTCCCGTTTCCTAGAACCTCGCGGCATCACGTGCGACAGATTTCCAATTGACTAATCATCCTCGGACTGATTAAAAACACAGAGAAAGGAGACACCACGGGATTAAAGTATTCCCCGAAGAGAGGGACAAGAAGGTGCCTGCCTTGATCATCACAGTAGGAGAAAAGGAGCAGTCGGATACCAATTAGATTCGCGAGCGGTTTGTCCAGCCACAGCGAAACTGGCTCTTCTAATTGACCGTTCAGAGCAGAGAAGAAATTGCAGGTTCAGGGCAGAGAAGAAATTGCAGAGCATTGGTTAGGCAGTGCATCTGTACTGCAAGCCTGGCGTAGACACCCAGTGAACCTTTCTCCTGAGCTGACGGCCAGTTGACCCTGTAACTCGTTAGGCAGTCTATCAATTCTTGGCAGTTCTCCAACAGATCAGCTAGAGCGGGCCAGTCTACCATGCCTGTGATTTTTGGCGTTTAAAATTGTCACCCTGGCTTTCCATGTTTACATGGCATAGGCTAAGATATTTCTTTTTTATGTTTTAACTTCAGCGGATGTGGAATCCAAAGTAACATTTGGAAAAATATCCGATGCATGTCTTTGACAGGTTATGGCAACTCAAGGAAGGTGCCATATGGCGGTACAGGTCTTTCTTTTGTCGCAGCCATTTATTCAATCTCCCCAGATCCAGAGGGGAAATAGAACCATCTTCGTATTACCCTGAGAGTCCTTTCCTATTTTAGAATAGCTAGACAGACACAAGGGCATATGTGATGACTGCCACCTGCCTAATTTGAGGGCAAGTATTCTCATAAACAGAGCTAATGATAACTGTAAAATCTGACCCGGAAATTTGACTACTGCAGAGGGTTGACTCACTATATATTATTAGAACAGCTTTACAAGTAGCAATATTGACATACTCTCATGTTAGAGTTTTATATCTTTTCATGGGAACCCTTGAGGTAGAGGAGAAAGGATTGTAAAGAAAGCACAGTGAGTTTAGCTAAGAAGTGACCTGTCTCCTTTCTGTATTCAACATGTGACCAAAGGTAGTAAGACTGACTTTTTAAAAAATTATTTTTAAGTCATCATCAGAACACGGGCTCGCATATATATTTCAGTGATGCTGGCTGGCATTGCTCATTGCTCAAAACATGGGCACTCCCCTTGGAGAGTGGGCTTCAGAGCATGATGAATATGGACTCTCATTACCATTAGAAATCTTTATTGTTTGAGGATAAATATGATTTTTTAATGCAGCAAGAGATAAGTGAAACCAAACAGGGTGGATTATTAGGTCAAGTTGTGACTTTCAAAATAGTTTTTTCCTATATGGCTCATAAATAAACTCTGAAGGCAGTTGCAAAACAGGAGTTTCAATTATATGATGGAGCTAAGCATAAAGTTCCCCAAAGAAGGACAATACTCCTGTGCATGATTCTAGTGTGCTTATTTTAAAAATCAAAATAGATATTATTAAAGTTGGTTTTGTTGATGGTATGTACAGCACATTGGTGAGCTAGTAGACTTGTACAAAACGTGAGCATGTGGCAGAGAGTGAGAGCAATGCTCTGATGATTGGGGTTGACGGGGAGTGCATAAAATATCCAAGTGATCTCAGCAAAATGCCCCCCACCCGGATCTGATCCCAGACAGGTCCCACATATCCACTGGCCATTTGGACTTTTGAACACTTTATTTATGCAAGTTTTTGCTAAGCAAAGAAATATAGGTCAAGAATAGGAATGAATAAGAAAATGGAGAGGAAAAGACTTCTTTTTAAGACCTCTGTATTGTTTACATGAGGAGTGTATTTTGACATCTAAACTTTCAAAAATGTTTAAGAAGCGGTCAGGGAATCATAATAAAAGAAAGATAAAAATAATCCACAAAGTAGTTAAATCTTTGAATAATATCTGAACTAGATGCTTTTAAAGCAAGGCTTCTCTTTGGAGACTCAAACCAGTGCAAACTTCAGAGATAAATTTTCCAGTTGTTATCTATTTCTTTTTTGCACCTGCCACTCAGCTTATGAAACTGTGTTACTTTCTTTGGTGAAACTTAAGACTCATTCCTGAATAATGACTTACATTATTGCATTTGTTTCTGTCTCTCTTTTCCCTCCTGTTTTTAAAGACTGACTTTTGAGCAGGACATAGAGCGTGGCAACACAGACGGTCTGGGGGACTGTCACAGTAAGTACAGCCTTTTATCCATTTTTATCTTTGGGCAAAGATGCTTTCATCATATGGCCTAGAAACATCACCCCACATGTGGAACTGAGTGCAGCTGACACTAAAGGCATGCATAAATAACAGAAATCATCTTCTAAATATCAAATAAAGCAGGCAGTGTGTTCTAAAGCCAGTGTTGTCAGTGTTGTCACTACCAATGCTGGCACCTATTTCATTATTCCAATGCTGGGGAACGAAGTCACTCTAGAGAATATCAATTATAGCAAAGTAGTAAGTTATATCAGCATTTCCATTATAAAATGACAGTTTTGTTGTTTTTTAAAATGTGCTATTACACTGTCATTTTTAGCCAACTAATAAAAAGACTGATCATTGTACTCTAGCTTTTGAATTGAGTGGGACTGTTTTATTCTTCTTGAACATATCGACTAACAAAAGTAATTATTTTTTTAAATTAGATTTATGTCTATTACCACTTGTAATAGAAAAAAATTTCAGGACTAACCATAAGTACAAGGCAATTCAAAATAGCTTTTTTGCAGGAATTGACATACTGTGCAAATCCCAGAGTTCATTTTGAATGTTATTAAATGATAACATTTTAGTTAGAACCTTATATAAAGGATCCTGGTCAAAATTCTGCCCTGTTGTCCTGTGACCTGGTTAATATCAATATTCTCCTGAAAAATTCTTTATTAATACAAATTTAAGGAATAATACCATACTCTCAGAAAATACATTTAGTTTGTGTTATTTTAAATGATACATATGCTGAATGTCTAGAAGCTTGCATTTACAATGGCACCAAATATAATAGCTCCTAAGGGAATGAAAGTGTATTACTTCTGATATTTGATTCTATAATGAAAGTCAGGGGCATAGCTCTAAATCTTTCAGCTATGAATACTGAAATTTCAAGCTCTATAGTGTCATTAAGCTTTTCTGCCTTGTCTTTTTTAGAGATTAGATATAATCAAATAAAGAGGACTATAGGCAGCCTTATCTCCCAATTCTTTGCCATGCTTTTTTCACTTACAAATATTATATGATGGCAAAAAATTCTTACTATGTCTTCACATGCAAAAGTAATGAGTTAAGAAATAAGCATAGGAAGCAGCATCATCACCAAAAGACCTGTGTTATGTGTGTGTGCGCGTGCATTCATCTGCATCAGTGAAACAGTTTAACGTTTGATCAGTGGGCCTTCATCATCTTGGGACCTTATAGCTTCATTTTCAAGGAAACAGGTTTTAGGGTGTGTGTGCATGTGTGCACTTAATTAGCTGACTTTAGTGAATCATTTTCATCACATTTCTATGATCTGGTGGTCTGGGCGTCTGTAGAAAAATACAGATTTGGATCGAATCAGGAAATTTATGAGAAAACATGAAGATGCTTCTTACTGCCTCTATCAAGCGTCCACTGTCCCGCTAGACTTGCACCCCTATCTGTGATCTCAGGCAGAGGGACCTAACAAAGCCTGTGTGGCTAGCACAGGGGGAGACCTCATGGCCCCAGCCAGTGATTTACTCTTTATTTCCAGGATAATCTCGGCAGTCAAGGCCCTAGACCTGCCTTCGTGTTTCCTAGCGTGCCCCCAACCTTTAACCCCACTCCTGCTGAGGCACTTAGGGTGCTGCCCCTCTGCCTGCCTGGCTTCCCCATGGCTCTCCTCGCCCCTACTCCTGCTGGAGCGTGAACTACTTCCATTAAACAGGCCTACACACACGTAGGCATTCAGAGAGGGTTTCCGTAATTGGGGCATGATAACTCTTTAACAGGATTTTAAGGAGAACTGAGGAAATCACGAGAAGCCAGTGTTAGAGGCTTCATGAGCAGCTGAGTAAACCAGTGATCTGATCCAGACACACAGCACACACGCCTAGATATATTGCCTAATATGTCTGTGAGTTTCGGGTTTTTTGTTCTTGTTTTGATTTCCAAACTAAAACCCCCGATGGGTTCAGAACGTTGTGATACTAGACAGTGCCTCACAGCGTGGTTGTGAGGATGAAATGAGAAAGAATATAAAGAAGAGTGCTTTTTTTGTCATTGTGGTCCTATTTTATCCACAGGCGTGTCCCTCTGTATAAAGTAGGGCTTGAACTCTCGAAATCACACAGAATCACAGTGACCATCTCCTCTGCTAATTCTTGCTTTTTCTCTGCCTCCTGGCAAAGGCAGTGGCCTGCAGGAAACTCACTTGGTGGAAGAGATGTGGAGGTGTGAAATCGGACAGAGCATAAAGCATCTTACATTACAAGCAGGAATTAAAAAGCACTTGCATAGTATTGAGGATCATGTGTGTTGGCATAGTTCTGTATTAGCTCATTCCTGCTTTTTATGAAAGTCACACTAAGCGGAGAGTAAAACATTAAGTAACTTTCGTCTCCCTTTTGTCTTTCAGATTCCTTTGTGGCACTGAATGGTAAGGAAGATATTACTCTCATAATTTAATATTGGTGGAAACCTATCTGAGAAATCCTATTTCACGATTAATCCTCTTGAGTATTTTCAAACCTTAGGTTTCTTTTTAATTAATTTTTTATCCTCATTATTTTTTATAGACATTTCTACTCCTCTACCAGATTATGAAATGTCTTACAACACAGTGTATGGTCAGTTTATGGATTTTTTTTTTTTTTCATTCTTTAAGTCACTCATCCTGTGGTAGCTTATAGTTTTCATTTACTAAACATCATGGACCAGATTCTATGTTACTTCAGGGCCCCAATTCACTAAAATTACTATGCTTCAGAAATCACTCTGCCTATATGAGACAATTGATGTGGGAGACTGAGTCCTAAATTTTTAATCCACCACGTAACATGAAATATGCCAACCCTAGGGAATTCTGTGAATACATTTAATGAGTTCTTGAGGGAGAAGAAATTGTTTTTGGACATAAGTATATCCAAGATAAAAGAATGGTGCTTATAACTAATAGACTATATAGCTCTTCAGCTGATACAGGGTACCACCCCCCAAAAGGTTGGCTTTCAAGACAGTACCCTCTGCAGGGGAAAATCTGTACAGGGTGCAGGCGTCAGCTTCTTATTAGGCAAAACTTTCCAAATGGTATGATATTGGCCATTGAAATTTTAAGCTCACAAAGAGTATGAATATTTAGACGTATTTTCAGTGAGATTTTTTTCAGAACATATACAAGGAAAAGTAATGCAGTGGAAACAATATGCAAACAGGATTTATCCCATTGTTCTTGGTATGAAATACACAAGCACTGTACTAAACAAAACTACCAAGCCCATAAGCAGAATATTCTGAACTCTTTATATCAGAAGTTGAAGTGTAGCCATTCCATTTACATTTCTCAAAGTACCTACAAATATTTATTAGGGTAAACTGTGTGGTTTTTTTTATTAATATGTGAAAAACATCTGTGTGATGGCAAATTTAAGCCCCACATTATATTGCATTATATTGGGAGCTGGAAGTTTCATTGACACAAAGCCATTCTATAGTTTGTGTGTTTGAGACATGTAACAAAGTATAGCAGTTCCAGGATAGTCTTTACATATAGAGGCAGGTAATATAGGAGGAGAGAAAGCAAAGAAAAAAGGAAAGGAAAGGAAAGGAAAGGAAAGGAAAGGAAAGGAAAGGAAAGGAAAGGAAAGGAAAGGAAAGGAAAGGAAAGGAAAGGAAGAGGAAGAGGAAGAGGAAGAGGAAGAGGAAGAGGAAGAAAACAATGTGGATTTGTGATGCAAATAAATAGTTCACGATGGCTTAGTTCACATGTGCTTAGTAGCTCTATGTAAACTCTCACTCCCTGTGTCTAATTAGCATAAACAAAAACCACCTTTGAAAGTCTTAAAAACTGTCTTATAAACTGGAGCTGTACAGATATGGAAAGCAGTGCCTGGTTTCTCCCGACTGTCCCCCACCTCCCCGAAATGAAGCACGGTAGAGTAGATGGGCCAACAGAATTCATCCACTTTTAATGTTTCTCATCTATGATTCAAACCAGAATATTGAACACCAAATTTTACTATGCCTCAAAAGTGTACCAAAGACTGGAAGAAAAATTGCTCAGGAGGCAAATGTCATCTCGCTTAGCCTGCCTTCAGAAAGAAAACCCACTTAGCATCTGCTGTTTTCCAATATCATACTTTGCGATCATTTTCTATAATTGGATAATCTTTATCAGATATTGAGAAACTCGGATCTTGAAACTAATTGGACCAGCAACCTCCCCAGCATTCATCAATCATACTAAGACCAACTTTAACCCCTAGATAATTTGACAGAATAATTAAACCATGGGATTCTTTTATGAACAAAAGCTATGGATCTCCAAGCTATGGATCTCTCTTATTCCCTTTACAAAAGGGGAGGTACTCATTAATTCTTCCCTATTAACACTTTAAAGGATGATGCCCTCTTGTTCTCAGCTCTGTGATGTAGAAACCCCTGAGAAGAGTTGGAATTTTCCTTTCAGCTACTGATCTATTGCAGACTAAATATATTCAATGTGAAACAGTTAGACGATTAAGTGACCATCAAAATGAGGGCTGGTTCAGATAGTACCTACAAAAAATAGGAGACTTTTCCCCACAGACTATTGCAAAGGATGCTTATTTGAGAATTAATAAACCCAGAATAGAATTAACTCATTCATTCAGAAAATACTTGTTGAGTGCTATTATGTCCCAGGCACTGGACTAGGTGCTGTATTTGTAGCATCGGAAGAAGAACCAAATTGCTATTCTTATGAGCATGGATGTAGACAAGGAAGCCAACTCCGAAGTCCAAAGTGCACCCACAGTTTTCTAGCTAGGTACTTTGCATGTCCCGCACTCTGTGCAAAACCACAAAACCAGAACTTGTCCAGCTCAGGAAAAGGGATCATTCCCACAAACCATGCAAACTTTCCACTTAGCAAAAGCTCTGTGCAACAGCAGTTACATGTGCAAGAGCCCCTTTTAGTGAATTGGGCCCTGATTATTTTCCTCCAGTCTTCCTTTCTTGTATTGATTTATTGTCTCTGTTTTGTGTCTAATTAGCTACAATCATTGTAAACAGGTTAGAGTAGTTTGAAGGGGCTCTAACCTCTGGAATCACAATGACTTGTAGATATAGAGAAACGATTTGATGCATTGTAGTTAACTTTTAAAATATATCTATTTCTTTGTATAAGAATAATATCGTGCAAACTCCGCTGATTAAAATGTGACCTTTCTTATTGGACTGACAAGGCAATATCATAGGTTCCAAATCTGTCGACCTGTAATACCATATCCACAAATGATTGCCTATGTTTATAGCACTATTTTGGTTGCAAAGTGTTTAGGGAATGCATTAAAATAATATAGCCTCTAAAATCAGATTATACGAAATAATATAAGTGGTTTCCTTGTACCATTTTTTTTAAGCCTGGAGAGGTAATAATAACGTATCTTTGATTTCAAACTGAGGACTGCTGCTTAATGGTGTTTTTACGTGGTGGTCCTAAAATTTTTGAGACTCAGGTAGTGCTTTCTCTGACTGTTTAATTCACCACTGGCACGTGTTCCCTGTCCTCGAGCATAAGTTTAAAAGATTACAAACCTCATGCTGCTCATTTTTTCCTTTCGAGTAAATAAGATGCATGGTTTCTCTAGATTTACATATAGAAAATTGAGATGTGGTGGGTATTAGACTAACACTTGAGCGATAGGAAGAAGAGGCTGATTTCTCACATTTGTGTAAAACGTTTTCCTACCTAACTACCATCTGGTCCACATTAATTTCTTCTCATAGCCATAGCTTTCCATTACCAATGAGTTTTCCATGTATTTGCAGCATATGGGCCAGGAAATCTTTCTACAGAGAATGTGCCCCTTAAGCATATATTTCCCCTAGATTACCGTATTAAGAAATGTTCTCCCTAAACCATACTTATGGCATTACCATAAAATTGCCCCTTGAATACAGTTAAATTGAAAGTGTTCGAAATGCATATCAATTCAGGTAAAAGAAATCTTGCTACTTGAAGAGGAGGTATTTTTTTTTTATTCTTCCTCTCTTTCTAACTTCCTACAAAGCTATTTCTAATTGTTTGCTTATGCTGGGTGCTAAATTTTCTCTTAGGCTGACCACATATTTTATTAGAGCAATCATGGATTCAGCAATGGAAAATAGAAGTTATGTTTTAAATCTCAGTGTTAAGGAGAAAGGAAACAAAAGAAATTCTGTATTTCCATTTCTCGGGCTGATTTTCCTGTCCCTGTTCTCTTTATCTGTATTATGAGATGAAATGTGAAACCCAGAAATGTAAAGACAAAAAATCTAGAATCAAGCATTCCCTGAATTTTAAATGAGCATGCTTTTAGCAGTTGGATATGAGGCAGACTATTTTCAACAAACCGGATGTTTGAAACTGTGTAAGAGCCAAACAAGTTCCATACAGAAAGGGACCTCTTAAATGCTACCAAAGCTGCATGTGGCATTTAAGTGTGGGGGTTCCATAGAAGTCACTATAGCTTAGATGAGCCACTTGGCTTACTTTTTTCCTCTAAGCAAAATTGCAAGAAGATAAATAGTCATCATATATATATTAATGTGTATACACGCACACATTTTTTAACCAATAATTTGCAATATTAACGTTTCCTGGGGAAATCCAACTTCCAACGATAATTGCAAAAAACAGAGGAATACAGTGTTTAGTTTATCATTATAATCTCTCTTTCTAGTGGCCAGTATTTTCTTTATCACATGCATGGTGATCACACCCTGAGGCTGGAGTTCCTGTGAGCTTGTCCTACTTTCTACCAAAGGCACCAATTACACATGCACAGTAGTTGCCCTGATGTTGTTTTTTTTTTTTTAATTGTTCAAGAGGTTGCTGTAGGTAAGATGGTTTAATAAGCCAAAGATGTCACTTGAAAATCACAGAAAGGTTATATTTTATTTCTACTAGAGAGAACAGGTAGTAGTGCTTCTTTAAATCATTGTGACAGCTTAGATCAAAGCACCTGATACAATCTGTATTTAACCTTGTGGAATGATGGAGGGAGAGCTTTACGAATGAATTCACAGGAAACATCTAGCGTTTCGGCCCTAACTCTCAATCTAGCCATTTTTCTGGCCTTATCCCGTGGTAGCTATTCTGGATCTCAAAAATCTATCCTTTTCTAATTTGAATCATTTTAGTCAGTGAGGCCTCAAAAACTGAAACTAATTTTATTGGAATAAGACACAAAAGGCACAGGCATAATAACATGTAGCCGTTGAGACCTCATTCCAATGAAAAGGCAATGGGAATTGGTCCCTTTTGAAAGCAATAACTACTCCCAGAAAGGGGAATGCCCGTGGAGCTGGGTTCAAACTGAAGACTAGACACACCATGGCACCTCTATGCAAGAGCTCAGGGCAACTGACTTGTTCACAAGTGGGCAAGATTCATCCACTACCATAAATTGGCCCCAAATTTTTCACAAGTGGGATCCCTGGAATGGACACTTTTTGTCTTTAGTGCTGCCATGGACATATCAAAGAACACTCGTGTTTCTTGAGCACCTGCTATGTGTCAGACACTGTGCTAGATGACTGCACATTTATCCTCCCAACACCGGGAGTTGTCTGTCATTACCCCCATTGTGTGCACAGAGAGAGGGTAAGTGATTCCCCAAGGACCACCCAGCAAAGCAGCAGAGACAGGATCTGGCCCCTCATCCTCTAACTACAAGTTCTAGGGGCCCTTTGCTGAGCACACCCCACCTCCCACCCCCCACCACCACCACTAAGCCTTGCCATTTCTAGAGTGATCTCCTCTCAATCTCACAGCCAGCTTGGGCATCCCACCTCCTGGCCTCTGAGCAAATGGAATGTGGGTCTCTCTGGTGACGTTTTCCCTAACTGTATTTGTGATGAAAACAGGGCACTCCAGTTCCCTCTTGCCCAGCACCACCGCGTCAGATTCGGCGGCTCAAGAGGGGTATGAGTCTAGGGGAGGAATGCTGGACTGGAAGCATCTGCTCGATTCACCTGACAGCACAGACCCTTTGGGGGCAGTGTCTTCCCATAATCACCAAGACAAGAAGGGTAAGGCCTTGGAAATGCCTCTTCCTCTGGGGGAGAGGGAGGGAAAAGCGGGGAGGACTGTAACTGCTTCCAGCTGACTCATAGCAGCATTTAAGGAACCTCCAATACACAATGATTGAGAGCTGCTCAAAAAAGACTGCAACCCAATCCTCCGTTCGAGGCTTCATCCTAAATTACTCCCTGACCAGGGAGAAACCACACAAAACAAATAACACATCCTCTGAGCTTCCTCTGCCCAAAAGAGGTGTGGCTTGGCCAAATCGGACGCTGGCTCCTGAGATCTCTTTAAACCCTTCTTAGTCACATTCTGTGATTTCTTGGACCCTCTTTTCCCACCATAATGTGATGGAATGCAGTTCGGGCTTTGGCAAGGGAACTCAACTGAAGTAAAGGCCCTGTTAATCAGTGCATTGAGAAATAGCAAGGCAAAGTCTTTTCTGGCTGGTAGCATCTCTGACTTTCGCGTGGTGCTGAATTTGAATAGAGCCGTGGTCCTCAGATGTACTGTAACTGCCCTTAGAGGGCAACAGCTAAAACAAAAATATGTTATTTAATCAAGCAGAATTGCTATGCATTTAAAATGGAAAGGAAGCCACATGAAATGAAAGGGACTCTACTGTGAACTGTCCTAAATTCTCCTTTGCTTTCTTTTGCTTAACTACAGACAGGAAATGTCATCTCTTTTCTCGCCATTTGCTGCTTCTGGTAACACATCCTACTTTAGTTGCAGCTGCAACCAAAGAGGCCTTTACTTGTCCAAAAAACAGTCTTGTAAATCAGAGACTGAAAAGCCCAGTTATGTTGCTGAGCTGTTTCCTCCCATTCAGAATTGTTTGCTTCTATATGTTTTCAAGAGTTTCATCTAAGCGGGGCTTTGCGTTTGGAGGGCAGGGCCGCCACCGCGACCCTTGGGAGACGCTGCCTGGCGAGCCCTCCCCCAGAGGGTTCTGCACACATATTTCCGTCTCTGCTGCTACGCAGTGTTTTCTGGGCAGACACGCACGCTAAATTTTCATCCTCTTTTTTGCTTCCTGACAGTGCCATGCGTTCTGCTGCTCTCCTTGCCAAGCCAAAATGCAAAGATGTAGCCCCTTTGATCTTGTTCTTGAGCATGTCCCCTTCACTGATTTTATTACTCTTCTGCAGACTTCCTCATACATATATATATGTGTGTGTATATATATATATACACATATATATATATTTTGGGAGACAGAGTCTCACTCTTGCTGCCCCAGGTAGAGAGTCGTGGCGTCAGCCTAGCTCACAGCAGCCTCAAACTCAAACTCCTGGGCTCAAGGAATCCTCCTGCCTCAGCCTCCTGAGTAGCTGAGACTACAGGCATGTGCCACCATGCCCAGCTTGTTTTTTCTATATATTTTTAGTTGGCCAATTAATTTCTTTCTATTTTTAGTAGAGACGGGGTCTTGCTCTTGCTCAGGCTGGTCTCGAACTCCTGAGCTCCAATGATCCACCCGCCTCGGCCTCCCAGAGTGCTAGGATTACAGGCGTGAGCCACCGCGCCCGGCCTGCCTAGACTTCCTCTTATTAATACGCCCTGCCCAAATTCTTTAAAAAGCAAACAAACAAAAAAAGTGAATATTGTCTCATCAGCCTCTTTCAGCTCAAGGGGCCCCTGCTCCTATGATCCTGAGAAAGCACCAGGGGCAGCAAGAGATTTTAAAAGGGTTTAAAGAGAGAAGCTGTCCCGGCTGCCCACAAGCCCTAGCACGTGCCATTATTTGTTATGTGTGGCTTCGGACCTCACACATGTTAGTCAGTCTTGGCTGTGTTCTCCAGAAGAGACAACTTAGGAGAAATCACTTTGCTTTTGCCCACTGCAATTTTCTGAAAAAAACAAACAGCCTTTCCAGTATTCAGATATGCCAACCGAGTATCTAGCTGTTGGTTGCAGTAATTTTCTCTTCACTTCACCGAGAGAGGGGTGGTGTGAATTTTCTCCAAATCATTCACTCCCCCAAGGAATGGAGGTTCTCAAAGAGTCCAATTAACACTTTGACAGATCATTTTAAAATTCGGCATTGCTCACTCTCTTGGGGCTTATTACGGATATTGACAAAGCTGGAAGCAGTCTACATATCGTCAGACAATGGTGGCAGAGGTGATTGCATGGGTGTTTAACATGATCACTGTTCTTGTGCTATAAACTCCTTGCCTTGTCCTGTCAAATCTGAGTTTGATTTCTGACAATTGGTTATGCGTTTGATGGGGCAATGCCAATGAGTTGTTGTGCGGAAATTTCTTTCTGAAAAAAAGATGTAGCTTACTGTTTCTTTTATGATTTTGGTTTCCATTTTGCTCCGAATTATTTTTCTGTTTAATGTTCACGATTTTGTTTTAAGCTTTTGTTTCGTTTCGCCAAGCACTGTGTGCTGTGACTTGGTGATGGCGTTATTCTGTTGGAAAAGTCTTGTTCCTTTTCTGACTCGTTATGACGTCCTCTGACTGGGACCAATCTGTGACGCCCTCGCTTCCTTTCATTCCCCGGCGTTGGTGCCTTGATGATGTCACATCCGTGTGTGCCGCATCTCCCGGAATGCGAGAGTCTCGGGGCTTTCCGAGGGCCTCTGGATGGGTGCTCTTCCGCTCTTCCTACTGGGTCGATTGTCTCATGGGAATGTGACATTTGTGTGCCCCAGCTTTAGGAGCTAAATATACTCTGGAATTGTTTCTAAAATGCCTCACATTTCCCCGCCAAGCAGAAAATGTGTCCCCTGACCGGCTGGCTGAGGAGGAGGCAAGTGTCCCATGCCCTTTTTCCATTTTTTTTTTTTTTTTTTTTGAGACAGTCTCGCTTTCTTGCCTAGGCTAGAGTGAGTGCCGTGGCGTCAGCCTAGCTCACAGCAACCTCAAACTCCTGGGCTCAAGCGATCCTCCTGCCTCAGCCTCCCAAGTAGCTGGGACTACAGGCATGCGCCACCATGCCCGGCTGATTTTTATATTATATATATTAGTTGGCCAATTAATTTCTTTCTATTTTTATGGTAGAGACGGGGTCTCGCTCAGGCTGGTTTTGAACTCCTGACCTTGAGCAATCCGCCCGCCTCGGCCTCCCAGAGTGCTAGGATTACAGGCGTGAGCCACCGCGCCCGGCCCCCATGCCCTTTTGATTTCTGCCCCTGCAAAAAAAAAAAAAAAAAAAGGCCAATGATCAAAACACACCCACAGCTCTACCCTGCAGAGACGCTGACCGCCAGGGCGCTGGTTCTCGTCTTTGTCCACGTCACCCTCCAAACAATTCCGCATTTCCAGAGTATGTTTGCTGCCTTTTTCTTTCTTTTCCTTGCTATGTCCTTCGTCTTGATTGAATCCTGTGCGTCCCTCACATTCTGTCAAAACACCGTTTCCTCACCTTGCAGTCTAACCCCCTTCTGCTGCCATTGTTCTTAGCCTCCCCCTTTCAAAATGACAGACCCAAGCCCTCTGCCCCTCTGTGGAATGTTCCAAGGCTCTTTCCTTCTACACCGTGAGTAGCGTCTGACGCCGTGTGTGCGCGTAGTCACACTAACAAAGCGTGAGAAGAGACCTGCGAAACACGCAGAAGCTTTATCATAGAAAATGAAGTCATTTTCTCCCTCAGTAACTGGCCTTGCCCTTCATTACCCCTCCTGGCCTTGTCTAATGTCTCTTGTCCTTGCTGCTTTTCTTTAAAATTGCCTGATATCTTTCAAGCCCTAGATTCATTAGTGAAAACGCAGCCAACTGCTCTGTTTTATCTCTGGGCCCCTAGATGTCTGGAGCCTCTAGAGCCGGCCCTTTAATCGCCAAGTTGATAAATGAGATGCAGCCCTGACTACTTCTTTCTTGGTTTTGCCACATTTAAAAATATGTATTATTTATTCATCCTCTCCCTGTTGAGGTGGCAATGGGTAGTTACAAAGGGACTTCAGTTACATATAAATAAGAAAGAAAATCAAGTTTATTTTTAGGTCTGGCTCATTCCCCACCACCCCTTCCCACAGCAAAAGAAATAAGAGCTTTCTTTTTTAGGTTAAACAATACTGAGAACAAATAGCCACTCTTATGACTCTTACCCAAAGTATCAATACTTTAAATGCTGATTTCCAAGAAGACTATAAGATGAATGTACAGAGCTGCCCAGCGGGCTGTGTACACAAATATAAAGTGTAAACACTGACCACTGCCATTAGGGCACAAGAATAAATCCTGAACCAAAGAAAAATCTCTGACTTCAGACTTTATTTTACAGAGTTCTTATGAGCTCTCAGAGAATATATGAAATAATAAATGCATAGAGAGATGTCCCCATTTGATTGGAAAAGCCAGAACTGTAGTACGCTTATATCTGTTGGGAAATCTTTAAAGTGAGATATTATCACATTATTACATTTAGTCGAGAAAATATGCTCATTATAGACATGAAAAAGATGTAGAAACAGAATTTGAATTAGAAATTGAATGAATAATTTAAAATGTATAGTAAATGTTGAATATATTTTAATCAATATAGAAGTTATTTGTGTAAGCAATTTTTAGTTTGGGAAAAAACATTCCAGTAAGATTCATAAAGTCTATAAAGGATGATGAGTATTGTGTGCACTGTGGAACAATCCCGAGTGGAATTTTATGAATCACAGAGTTTATCAGTAAACCTTGTTACAGTCAATTATTTATTCCTTAAACGCACGGCAGCTCCAAGTGGGCTGAGTCGTACTTTACCTGGGATGATTTAGGTTGACTCAGGGACATTGTGGCCTTCAAGAATATTGAGTCATGTGGTAGAAATTTATGCCCTTTTTATTGCTCTTTCAGTCTTTTTGATTATGTCAAGGGAAAAGTCTCAGTTTGGTACTTTGTCATTAACAACTCCCTAAACTTGCTACTATATCCCTTTTTTGCCAAAGAGAGAACAGGCTTTAGACTGGGGTTTGCCTTGCAGCTGGATCTAGCTGGTATTAACATTGTTTTGCTTTCAGTTAATTTTATTTTTATGGTTACCTTCTATCTACGAAAAGTGA